CTTTTAAAACATGTAATGCATGATAACTAGTAATATTTATTCAAAAATAGCTAAAACAAAGTAATAAGAAATATAAATTCCCCTGTTACCTCAACCCTTTAGTACCAAAAGGGTTCCCCTTGTACAAAATAGGGCTCGGCTTGTTCCTTACTTCTCAATAAGTTCCACCAACAATTTTCTACAACATATAAGTGATCCACATCACTTATCATGAAAAATAGCATTAATGAAGACTATAACTCATACCACACAACTTGGTCTCATAATCCCACCTAATGGTCCATATATTAAACCAACCATTCACATAGTATCACTTAACCACCAAAACCATTTATTAGCCATCACTAGGCTAATTTTCAATTTATATAATTTTTTATCAATTAAAAACCTTCACTTAGTGTCACCAACTTTCACCATTAGCCCTTATAATGAAAACCAAACCTTAATTTAAATCTTATTGGGCTCAAATAGCAAAATTATAACTAAATCAATAAGCTTAAACCATTGAAGAGCAAAAACCCAATTTCTCAAGGTTTATTTTGTGCCCAAAACACCTCTTTTCATCCAATTATCCACTCAAAATATTAGATCACTATATAGAAACTCAAAACATGCTCCCTAGGATCCAAAGAAATAAAAGCTTACAAGAATAAAGCCTTTGGGATCAAAATCCAAAAATTTCCTCTTCCAAAAATTGAAGAAAATCAAGAGAAAGAGAAGAGGATTGAAGTAGGGAGTTTACCTATCGTGTAGCCGAGCTCGCAACGGTCGCAAAGACTCCTAGATCCAAGCCTAACTCCCTCCCTTTCTCTTCTCTTCTTCCTCTCTCCCTCTCATACGTTTCCTTTCCTTTCCTTTCCAACTCAATTTCTGCGTTTCTGCATCAATTTGGGTCTTTAAATTGCTGGTCAAAAAGTTTGGGGAAAATTACAAGAAAGGGCCCAACATTTTTTATTATTGCACAAAAGCCCGGGTCAACTTTGGTAATTTTTCCATAGTTAAAAATAAATAAAACCAAACTTTTGCTTAGTAAAATTCAAACTCTGGGCCTCTATTAAATTATTCTAAATTTTAATTTAATTATAGATATTTTATTTTATTTTTATTTATTTTTTTAAATAAATTTGAGTCTTAAAATTTTTAGGATGTTACATTCTCCCCTCCTTTAAAAAGGATTTTGTCCCCAAAATCCAAGCTAATACATGAACCAAAGAGATAAACATACCTAGGGAAACAACTGTGGATATTCCTTCCTCATTTGATCCTCAGTCTCCCAGGTTGCATCTCCCGGAGCTGTCCCTTTCCAAATCACTTTTACCAACCGGATTGTTTATTTCTGAGTTGCTTATCCTTAGCATCCACAATACGATCTGGTTCAGTCCGGTAGGTTAAATTCTCTTGAATTTCAACCTCCTCAGGTTCTATCACATGCGACGGGTCTGGCTGGTACTTCTTCAATTGTGACACATGAAACACATTGTGTAGACCCGCTAACTGAGGCGGTAATGCCAACTGATAAGCCACCGGCCCAACTTTCTTCAAAACCTCAAAAGGACCCATATATCGAGGAGATAACTTTTTAGCCCGAATTGAGCGTCCAACGCCCGTCAATGGGGAAACTTTGAGAAAGACATGATCCCCAACCTCAAAAGACAAGTCCTTACGACGATTATCTGCATAACTTTTCTGTCTACTCTGTGCTGTAAGAAGCTTTTGTTGGATCAATTTGATTTTCTCTGTGGTCTCATCTACCACATCCGGTCCCATCATTGTCCTCTCACTCAACTCATACCAACAAAGAGGCGATCTGCATCGTCTTCCATACAATGCTTCATAAGGAGCCATTTGAATACTGGCATGATAACTGTTATTATAAGCAAACTCTGCCAGAGGTAAATGCTTATCCCAGCTTCCCTGAAGCTCTAGGGCACATGACCTCAACATATCCTCTAATGTCTGGATCGTCCGCTCAGTTTGTCCATCCGTTTGTGGATGATAAGACGTACTGAATTTCAGATCTGTACCCATAGCCCTTTGCATAGCTTGCCATAAATTCGATGTAAACCGAGGATCACGGTCTGAAACAATATCCCTCGGTACCCCATGTAGTCGCACAATCTCCTTAATGTAGATCTCAGCATACCTATCAACCGTATAGGTGGTCTTGACCGGTAAGAAATGTGCTGACTTAGTCAAACGATCTACAATTACCCAGATAGAGTCAAAACTAGCCTGGGTCCTCGGCAAACCAGATACAAAATCCATTGAAATACTCTCCCATTTCCATTTAGGAATCTCCAAAGGCTGTAATAACCCCGATGGCTTTTGGTGCTCTATTTTGACCTTCTGACAGGTCAAACACTTACTAACATACTCTGTGACATCCTTTTTCATGCCTGGCCACCACCAATGACGCTGCATGTCATGATACATCTTAGTAGCACCGGGATGAAGGGTGTAGCTACTTCGATGTGCCTCATCCAACAATTTCTTTCGAATAGACTCATTGTTAGGAATACACACCCTATCCTTGAAAACCACATACCCATCATCACTAAACCAATAGTCCATTATCTCACCATTCTCGATGTCTTGACTTATTTTTAACAAAATCGGATCTTGAAGCTGAGCATCTCGTATCTCTTTCCAAAATTCATTAGAAATAACCATAGTATTAAGACCATTCAAAGAGAACTTAGTCATACCCAAAAAAATTTCAACCAAAGATTCCATCAATCTATGCTCCCGAACCATTAAATAGGCTACATGTAAGGTCTTGCGACTAAGAGCATCTGCTACCACATTTGCTTTCCCCGGATGATACTTAAATTCAAAATTATAATCTTTAAGAAACTCCATCCAACGTCTCTGTCTCATATTCAGCTCTTTTTGATCCACCAGATACTTGAGACTTTTATGGTCGCTCATGACCCTGAACTCTGTTCCATAAAGATAATGACGCCAGATCTTTAACGCAAAGACCACCGCAGCCAACTCGAGATCATGTGTTGGATAATTCTCCTCATGCGGTCTAAGTTGTCTAGATGCATATGCCACTGCTCTCTCATCTTGCATTAGAACACAACCAAGACCCTTATGAGAGGCATCAGTATACACATCATAGGGCTTTTGAGGATCCGAAATCACCAATACTGGAGCTGTTGTTAACCTTTCTTTCAACTCAAGAAAAGCTGTCTCGCACTTATCATCCCAGATAAATGGCCTATCCTTCCTTGTGAGTCTAGTCAAAGGCATAGAAATCTGAGAGAAACCTTTGATAAAACGCCGGTAGTAACCTGCTAATCCCAGAAAACTACGGATCTCAGTTATCGATTTTGGTCTCTCCCATTGCATGACTGCTTCAACTTTATATGGATCAACTGCAATACCATTTGCCGACACGATATGTCCCAAGAACCTAACCTCTCTCATCCAAAACTCGCACTTACTGAGCTTGGCATATAGCTTATGATCTCGCAGAAACCTTAGGACAGTCCTCAAGTGTCTGGCATGCTGCTCCTCATCTTTAGAGTAGATCAGTATATCGTCAATAAAAACTACCACAAACTGATCCAAGAAAGGTCGAAAAATGCGGTTCATATAGTCCATGAAAACCGCAGGCGCATTAGTCAGCCCGAATGGCATAACCAAAAACTCATAATGACCATATCGAGTCCTGAAAGCAGTCTTTGCCACATCCTTCTCACTAACTCTTAGCTGATGGTACCCTGAACGTAAATCAATTTTAGAGAAAATCGTGGCACCAACCAACTGATCTAAGAGATCATCGATGCGAGGCAGTGGGTACTTGTTCTTCACCGTAACCTTATTCAACTGCCTGTAATCGATACACAATCTTAAACTACCATCCTTCTTCTTCACAAATAAGACAGGAGATCCCCAAGGAGAAACACTAGGTCTAATAAATCCCTTATCTAACAGCTCCTCAAGTTGCTTCTTCAACTCAGCTAACTCTGAAGGAGCCATTCTATAGGGAGCCTTTGAAATTGGCTGAGTCCCCGGTACCAGGTCAATTGAGAATTCAACCTCACGTTCTGGAGGTAATCCTGATACATCCTCAGAAAACACCTCTGGGAACTCCCTAACAACCTCAATTTCATCCACTATACCTGTCTCAGACCCTTGGGTAGCGAGCACTACCACGTAAGCCTCACATCCCTGCTCAATCAACCTTTCAACTTGTAAAGAAGAAAGAAAACAAGAATGACCAGGGTATTCTTTGATCACCTCCGGTACTTCTACCAAAGTCACTGTCTTAGCCACACAATCTAAGACAGCACCATAAGCTGTCAACCAATCCATACCAATAATTAAATCAATCCCTTGCATAGGTAATTTGATCATATTTACCCAAGTCGATTGCCCATTAAAAGTCATCTTAGTCCTACACACCACACTGGATCGACCAACCAAACCAGAAGTAGAGGAAACTTCTATATCATGGGGCAACTGGTCAACAGGCATAGCCATTCTATCTAAGCGCTCGGCAGAAATAAAAGAATGCGTCGCACCACAATCAAACAAAGCTTCTAAATCGAGGCCACAGATAGAAACCATACCAGTGATTAGATTCGATGACTTCCTAGCCTCCTCCTGAGATACTGTATACACTCTACCAGGAATCACGTTCCTCCGGTCCGAGCTCTCATGTAAATCAGGGCAGTCACGGATCAAATGGCCTAACTTTCCACACTTGTAACAAGCAAAGCAGCGACCAAAATGAACCCTACCACATCTATTGCAAGGTGACCTCGCTGTACTTAGAATTGGGGCTTGACTGGTCTGTGAAGAACGTGCTGGAGCATTCCCAGAGAAACGAGAACCCCCAGATCTCATATTACCACCCCGATTACCTTGAAATCTTGAACCCCTATTTAAATTTCGATTACCAGAAGCAGAAGAAGACCCGATTCTAAAGGAGCCACTAGAAGAAGAACCAGAGCTAAAACCCATTCTCTTGGATACACCACCAGTAGGAGCTAACTCGACCTCGTATCCCTACTCCGGCTACTCTCTGTGTCTCGGCCTCGACGAGCGGCAATCCTCAGACGATTGCACATCTCATCATATGTCGCCTCGCCTAACAAAGATAGCTGCTGGCGGTATTCTGGCCTCATCTTTTCTAATAACCTCTTTGCTTTCCACTTGCTATCATTAGAAGCCTTCAGATATGTTGAGAACTTAGACAGCTGATTGAATTTTCTTATAAAAGTCTCCTCGTCTAAGTCCCCCTGCTGAAATGCATGAAACTCTGCCTCTTTCTCATCTCTGAAAGCTGGCGGAAAGTGAAAATCATAAAATCTTTCTTTAAATTCATCCCAAGACATAGATCTTCCATCTGTGGGCTTAACAGAATCCCACCAATGCTTGGCTTCACCAACAAGCTGCATCGTAGCCAAGATAACCTTCTGCTCAGATGTACACCTCACAACAGTAAATAACTGCTCCATCCGATCCAACCACTCCTCAGCTTTCCCATCAAGCATACTACCATCATATGTAGTCGGATTAGAGCGAGAGAATTCCTTCCAAGGTTCAGATATGTCATCCTCTCGATTATTAACAACTGGTGCATGAGCTCCCATAGTACTAGAAGATCCCTGCCCAGCACTTAGGTCAACATGCTGATCTGGAACAGTATGACTTCTAAGATTTTGCTGTATATCCACCATAACTTCAAGCAGCCTAGCCATGACTGCATCTGTCCCCTGTGGTGGTGGTGGAGGTGGAGGCGGAGGTGGAGGCGGAGGAGGTAGAGGTGGTGGTCGTTCCTCATTCCTCGATCTACCCCTTCCCCTTCGAGCCATATTAGAACTGAAAGGTGTACGGCTACAAGCGTACGGACCTTTCTCCCCTCCTAAAGGAACAAGCCAGAGAAAGAAAAACATATTAGTCCAGGTTAGTGGTAGAAGGGAAAGAGCATAAAAGTAATGTATTTAAGGTGCCAAGTAGGAAAAAGGAATCATAAACCTAAAACTGATACCAAATGTAACACTTGCCTTGAGTGTTATCCAAAAATCACATAATTCAAACAAACTAAGTGTGGTTAAGGAGTTGATCCTCTAACCAACTTAAGAAATAAATCATTTAAAACCTTAAAAATAATTATAGGTTCTACCTATAGCGCACGGAAGCAAGTTAGACGAAAATGGAATAAAAAGATGCTGTCATGACAGTAATTTATTGCTGTCATGACAGCCCTCCTGGGCCAACTTCCAGGAGGCGGTGTTCCGTCATTCGACCTCCGATTGAAGTGATTTTAAAGCTCACACGTCACATTCAAAGGGTACTATAAGTGTACCAAATTTCAAAAAGATCCAACGGTCGGATTAAAAATTAGACATGTTAAAAGATTGACTATTTTTGCTGTCATGACAGCTAAAAAGCTGTCATGACAGCACTTCCGGACCAACTTCCGGAGTGCACCATTTCATCATCTGACCTCCGATCGGAGTGATTCCAAAGCCCACATGTCACTTTTAAAGAATACTATTAGCATACTAAATTTTGAAAAGATCCAACGGACGGATTGAATTTTGTGCAGGTTACAAAATCAACACTGTAGCTGTCATGACAGCAATTTAATGCTGTCATGACAGCACCTCCAGACCAAATTCCGAGTGCGTCGTTTCTCCGTCCGATATCCGATCGACGTGATTCCAAAGCCCACACGAAGCTTATAAAAGGTTTTACTTGTGACCCAAATTTTAGAGAAATCCAACGGTCGGATTAAGATTTGGACACCCAGATGCAAAAGTGCAGCTTTTTGGTAAAAACCATTTTCAAAATTGTCCAAATCTCATCCTAATGGTCACAAACCTGTGGGAACACTTTGGACACGTCAAATAAGATTAAAAACACCTGATAGAACATTCAAATGATGGAAAAACCCCATACATCAAAATTTGACCACCCGGGTGCCATTTCCCAAAATGGACCCTAAACCCCCAAAATGCACAAATCATACAAGAGTGGTCACAAATCAATCCAAATACCATGTATTTATATAAATACATATGCTAAACATTTTCACTTGGCTCAGAGCTCCTTGTGGGGCCCACGCACCCACTCTCTCTATCCAAGCTGTATGTTTTCCCATAGCACACCATTTGCAATGCAACCACTTTGCATTTGCTTATAAAATCACATATATATCAAAATAAAGATCTGCTTGTAATAGAAACTTGGTCTACTAAGTAAATCCATCAAAACCACACACCATAACCAAGTTTCCTAGCCACAAGTCTGCAAACAGACAAAAATTCATACACAAGCACACAATCCACACATATTCACACACACACACATAATCATATCCTACTGGCACCCTAATCTTAAATACATTACAATATATTTGCTCAAAAGAAAGGGGTTGCAGTTCTTTACAAATCACAAGCAAACCCCTAGCTTTGCTCTTTTCCCCGTCCACCACTGGATCCTTCGCCTGGACCTAGAATATTGAAAAGAAAGGGGTGAGACAACCACAGTCTCAGTAACAGTGAAATCTATATTGATTATTACAAAGTAAGCCATAATTAAATAAATGAATAATAAATTCAACATAGTATATAATTTAGCCATTTAAAATGCATGAATGCATGACCTAGGCCGGTATGGCCTTTCATGACCAACAGAATGCCCCTGGCACTCTTTAACTCGCAGGTAAACCTTATACCTACTTGTACCTCCACAGGCACAAAACATAATCTAAGGCATGATCTAATCCACCGAACCGCCTATGCCCCTTCGACGTGAATCCTGAGCAGTCAAAGCTAACTCCCTCCCAGAGCCAGCCCGACTTACTCTCCATGTGAGGGCTACCTTGGCCTAGGCACTCAACCTCACACTTCATATGTCGGATTCCCTCCCCCACTGAGAGGTGTCGAACACTCAATACACTAACCACTTTAGTGCACTGAGCCCACAATACGTAAGACAACACTGAGTACTGACAGTGTGCCATAGAATATCAAAAATCCACACCTTCTCATTGGTGAACTCCCACCGAGATCATGCCTTTTACTCTTGTCTACCTTTCCTGAGTATTGACCATTCAACACTCTAAAGTAGTATAATATTTATAAATCTCATTTCCATAAAAACATTGTTATTAAACAATTAGAAAACATATTTGCACTATAATCAAAGTAGTACCCCATAACCCCTTATAAAGCACATTTAATCTTTTAAAACATGTAATGCATGATAACTAGTAATATTTATTCAAAAATAGCTAAAACAAAGTAATAAGAAATATAAATTCCCCTGTTACCTCAACCCTTTAGGTACCAAAAGGGTTCCCCTTGTACAAAATAGGGCTCGGCTTGTTCCTTACTTCTCAATAAGTTCCACCAACAATTTTCTACAACATATAAGTGATCCACATCACTTATTATGAAAAATAGCATTAATGAAGACTATAACTCATACCACACAACTTGGCTCTATGAGTCATAATCCAACCTAATGGTCCATATATTAAACCAACCATTCACATAGTATCACTTAACCACCAAAACCATTTATTAGCCATCACTAGGCTAATTTTCAATTTATATAATTTTTATCATCAATTAAAAACCTTCACTTAGTGTCACCAACTTTCACCATTAGCCCTTATAATGAAAACCAAACCTTAATTTAAATCTTATTGGGCTCAAATAGCAAAATTATAACTAAATCAATAAGCTTAAACCATTGAAGAGCAAAAACCCAATTTCTCAAGGTTTATTTTGTGCCCAAAACACCTCTTTTCATCCAATTATCCACTCAAAATATTAGATCACTATCTAGAAACTCAAAACATGCTCCCTAGGATCCAAAGAAATAAAAGCTTACAAGAATAAAGCCTTTGGGATCAAAATCCAAAAATTTCCTCTTCCAAAAATTGAAGAAAATCAAGAGAAAGAGAAGAGGATTGAAGTAGGGAGTTTACCTATCGTGTAGCCGAGCTCGCAACGGTCGCAAAGACTCCTAGATCCAAGCCTAACTCCCTCCCTTTCTCTTCTCTTCTTCCTCTCTCCCTCTCATACGTTTCCTTTCCTTTCCTTTCCAACTCAATTTCTGCGTTTCTGCATCAATTTGGGTCTTTAAATTGCTGGTCAAAAAGTTTGGGGAAAATTACAAGAAAGGGCCCAACATTTTTTATTATTGCACAAAAGCCCGGGTCAACTTTGGTAATTTTTTCCATAGTTAAAAATAAATAAAACCAAACTTTTGCTTAGTAAAATTCAAACTCTGGGCCTCTATTAAATTATTCTAAATTTTAATTTAATTATAGATATTTTATTTTATTTTTATTTATTTTTTTAAATAAATTTGAGTCTTAAAATTTTTAGGATGTTACATTTACTATACCCTGTACTACAGGAAATTTAGAATTTTCTAATGCTTTGATTGATCTTGGTGCAGCAATAAATGTTATGCCTAAGTCTCTATTTTCTTCTTTACAGGGTTGTGAGATGAAGCCAGCTAGGATTATTGTGCAACTAGCAGACAGGAGACTTGCCTATCCTAATGGTATGCTTGAAGACATTCTAGTAAAGGTAAAGGATTTAGTCTTCCCTGCTGATTTTTATATTTTGGATATGGGTAAAGATGATAGTCATGGGCCGCCGCCACTGATTTTAGGTAGGCCATTTCTTAAAACAGCTAATACTATCATCAATGTTAAAGATAGTACTCTTTCTATGGAATTTGCAGGACGTGCTGTTCAATTCAATCTGTTAGAGGATATGAAATATTCTATAGAGGATCATTCTGTTATTAATGTGAGCATGCTTAATATGTTAGTTGATAATACATGTGATGAGCCTTGGGATAATTTGACTGCTGAGTTGCCTAATGTGATGAATTATGAAAACATTATGCATTGTACACCTGATTACTTTCATAACTGTGTTGGAATAGATAAATTCATAAACTCTAATGATTCTTTGGATCCTCTTATTTACATTAACTCTATTGAGCGTGATGATCTACTTGACTGTATTGATTCTACTGAGGCTATTAGCCCATCTATTTGTGTTAAGTCTCCTGATTATAATGATATTTGTGAGACCATGCAGTCGATTGGTTGTTTTAATAGCATTGATTTTGTGATCCCTATGAGCTTTTGTGATGGCATTGATAATATCAAGAGTCATGGGATTATTAATTATGTTATGCATTCTGACTCTAATGGTCCTTGTGTGGAGGATTTTGTTGTTTTTGTTGAATTTCATGATCAGGTACCTGTGATTAAGAAAATTATTTCTACTACAATGAGGCCATCTTCAATGGAGATATTGTCATGCAACCTTCAACCAAATAAAGGAAAACCAGTGCCTAAAGGAGCTTTTGATAAACTTGAAGAGAAAAATATTTTAAACAAGCATTTATTCTCCATCAGAGATGAGAATTTTAACTTTAAGAGCTTACAGAGATTTAAATTATCTGGTTAACTCTTCTCCTTTCACTTTTACCTTGCATCTTATATTTTATTTTTAGATTAACTGGATTATTCTAAATTGAATTGCATTGAGGACAATGCAAGATTTAAGTGTGAGGAAAGGGATTTGTCTTTATTTTGAAATTTTTTTTAACAAAATTATTAGGTGTTTTCTTGCATTTTTTTTAAATACTTTTAGTTTTTTTTTTGTGTGAAGTTGTGGGTTTAAGACAATTTTAGTTTGAATGCATTTGAGCATGATAAGTAATTGATCTTATGTTTAGAATTTAAGTTAAGTGGCAATGAGTTTGGTTTCAATGAATTAATGTGATAGTCTTTAGCTTGTAAGGATTTGAGCCTAATATTATTCTCTTTTTGTGTGTATTCTGCTATCACTACTCCCACTTTAGAACTCGTCTTGATTCTTAGTTGAGACTATAATTGCATAGGCTTTGCATGAAGATGATTTAGGCATTCTTTTTTTAGCCTACTTAGCCAAATAGCCATCCCATGCAATTTATCCCTTGTTAGCCCCTTTGAGCCTAAACCTTTTCTTTAAAATTTTAGCCAATTAAAAACATAACCTATAAAAATATTTTCCTTTCATTCTTCTCACCCCACTTTAGGTGATGAAAAGTGTATTATAATATTTGTTGGAATGAAAGAATATGCTTGAAGAGAGATTTGGGTTATTTTGAAAAAAAAAAACGAGAGAAAAAAAAAAGCAAAGAAAGAAAGGAATAAAAGAAAAGAAAAGAAAAGAAAGAGCATAAAAGTCATAACGCAACAAAAATAAATAAATAAAAAGGTGCATGAAGCAAAGGAAAGGAAAACAAAACAAAGAGAGAAAAATAAACCCAAATCAATTTATTTTGTTTTTTTCATTCTATATATTTCGTTTCAAATATACTTTTCATTATCCTAAAGTTTATTAACCTTCATTTTCCTATATTATACCTTTACCTAAGCCCCATTACAACCTAAACTAAAGTCCTATTAATTCTTACATTGCATATGACATAAATAGTGGAGACCTAGATGATAAACAAGCCTATGGTAGTGAGGTTTTAATAGGGAAACTTGAGTGAAACACTTACCTATATACATTTGAGAGTTGAGAGTTAAACACTTGACTTTTGTGAGGGGATATTGCTTAATTTATTCTTACCAAATGAAATTGCCATGATACTTGTTATTCTCAATATAAGAGACATTGATTAGAGTGTTAAAATGTTAAAGAGCTATAATTATTTCTTATTCTTTGTTGCTTCCACATTTCTTTTCTTGAATTTTGAGATTTAAGTTTTGCCCAGGAGTGCAAAAGTCTAAGTGTGGGGGAATTGATAAATGATAATTTTATATATTTTTATTCTTTTAATTTAGACTTTTAAATATTTATTTAAGGCTAATTGAGTTTAATTAGATATTATTTGATTTTATTAGCTAATATTCAGTTTTGGAATTTTAACTAACTAAATCTTTGATTTTAAAATATAAATAATATCTTTAATATTTTTGCACAGGTGCTATTTAATTTTATTTTATTTGTGCAGATTTTCTAGATTCAATTTGAAAGATATTGATGAAGAATATTTTGGATAAGAAGAATATGGGCATGCTTGGAGATCAAATCAAGAATCAAATCTTTAAAATTTTATTTGAATTTATTTTGGATTATTTAGTGTAATTTTTAATTAGGGTTATTTAAGGTAGTTTTATCTTTTAATAAACTATTAGTTTTTATTATAAAAGAAAGAAAGAGAGACGCAGGGGAGAGGGTCCACTTTTCATATATATATATATATATATATGAATAGATGGGGGACACAGAGAGGAAGGACGATCTGGGAAAAAAAACGAAAGAAGGGAAACAGAGCAGCGATCGCCATTCGTCTTTCCTTCCTCCAATTTCTTGGGTGATGGCTTCTCAATTTTTCATTTCATGTTGTTTGATTTTTAATTCTATGGAGAGCTAATTTTTTTTGGTGTGATCAATCACAAACCATGATCCTAAAATTTAATCAGAGTTTTTAATATTCAGGGAAGATTTTATTTTAGCTTTATTCCAATTTTCTCTTCTTCTCTCTACCTCCAAATTTTATGCTTTAATTACTATTACTGATTAAAGTAGCTTTATTGCATAATTTTTGAGTTATAAATTTTATTTGAGGTTTTAATTGCTATAATCGATTGATATAGCATTGTAAGAGTAATTTGGCTTGGTTTGGGTGATTATCCATGCTTTGTTTTTGGTGTGACTATAAAACAATTGTTAGGCTGTGGGTTAAGGGAGATTTCAATTAATCTATAACTTAACATCTTGTTTAATTCTTGAATGATAATTTGAGAAATATATAATGAAACCAGAATAATAAAGTTGAATAAAATTAATTTATTTTGTGGACGAGGAAGGTTAAATTTAGGTGGTTGGGTTGTGATTGATTGCGCTGCTTATTCTCGGTAATTTTCTTAGTTGAATTTCCTCTATTTATTTATTTATAATTTAGTTTTTAATTTCATCAGAAAAAAAATCCCCATTATTTACCTTTTCATAATCATAATTTAAATAGTTACTCTATTGACTCTTAGGGAGACGACCTAGGTTGCACTTTACTGCAAAATTTAGTTTTTATTAATTTTGGTGCTATTCGACAGTAGTGTCACAGATATAAACAAATATAAAAACTACTCATTATATAAATATCTCATGCAGCTATAAAGATGTCATCTCCAATTTCATCCACTTTCTAATGGTCCTTCAATGGACTGCTATATTTTGCCCCCAAGAATAGGCTCTTCAACACTCGAGCTTTTTGTCAACGCAGATTCAGCTGCAGACACTCATCATTTTCCAATTCCCCATATTCTTCATTCTTAGAGATGTTCTTCTTTCCATGCTATTTCCTTTCTTTATTTCCTTCCTTCAATGCCTCTTTCTTGGAAACGTGCATAGCTTCATCTATCCAATTATTTAACAGATTAAATGTTGAATCAACATCTGTATTCCATTTTAGGAATCATTTCTAATTAACAGTCGACTACTAAAAATTCTCATGCATTAATCATTAAATATTATTAAAATATTAAAATAGTAGTAACAAAACAATTTTTGGGACATGGTTATGTATTAAAAAAGCTATTGATTTGTTGATCTGATATCATCATTCAACAACTGTATCAAAATTTTGCTTTCTCGCTAAATTTGTATCAAGCTATATATGCCCAGAAATTTGAATTGGAATGAATGTCAGATAATTGATAGGTACTGTTTAAGGACATTAGTGCAGAATTTTCAATGTCACTTATAAAATGTTCCCACGTCTAATCCTATTCATTTTCAGATGTGCTGATCTTCATAACTTCTGAAAGCCCTTGATCAGATGAATGTCAAACCCCTCCTTCACTTCTATCTTTCTATTGAATGACTTCATGCTTTAAAATATACTTATTTTCTGTTTCGTGTGCAGCAATATTTGTCAGAAATGAGAGGTCCGTCTAGAAAACACAACAGCTCCCAATCAACAGATCAACTCTGAGCTCCAACTGAGCCAACAAGTCCTTCAGGCGTCAATCCTGGTTCTCTCAATGCAATTTCTTCCTTTCTTGTCCATTTAACATCAAGCATTGTTTTCCCTTACATGTATTTCCATAATTTTAATTAGGACAAATGAACAATCCTGCTATGAAGCCTGTACTGCAGAAGAAGAGAGTAGCTAGACAGATGAGGCATGATAATGATAACACTGCATTTCAGGAACCCAGTGCTATTGTTCACGGTTATAATTCTATCTCTTACTACATATGATTAAAAGATTCATATTACATAATATTTTATTATATTATAGCCATACTGTTCTGCATGTGTAGGTCAAATCTCTCATTCTGACATGAAAACTTTCTGTCAAGTCTATGAAAACTTTCTTCTGCTCTGTTTGGATAGGAAGAAATGTTGAGAAGAAAGAAAATGAGAGAAAAGAAAATGGAGAGAAGAGAAAATTGAAGAGATAATATTATCACTCCTTTTGTTTGGATGAACAAGCGAAAATAGGAAGGAAAGAAAATAGGCACATGACATAATGGCAACAGTATCCTTATATTAAAATATATTATATGTTTTAGGTTATTACCTTAAAATAAATTGAAGAAAAAAAAAATAAGACCATCTCAATATTTTAATATCAAATAATTTGCAAGATATATTTTTATTTAAAAATCAAAACAGATAAATTTTTTTTAAAATAAAATATAACAACCCATAAGAAATCAAATTAACGTTACTGTGCTTATTTTTTAAAACAAAAATAGAGAAGATGATGGTCATGAAAGTGGAGATGAATATGTATGTGATGTTCTTAGTTTAAAACAGTGTTAGGAAGAAAGTTCACAACCAAAAAGATCAAGAAAAAAAGGAGGATAATATTGGAATAAAAGTTTTCTTTTCAAAATCTCTCCACATGTGGAGAGAAAATGTGAGAGGAAAAAATGGTGGAACTCACTCTTTATTTTCTTCCCAACTTTTGCTTCCTTTCAATTTTCTCTTCTCAACCAAACAGGGAAAAATATGTTTTCTCTCTCGTTTTCTCTTCTAGTTTTCTTTCCTCCAATAATTTCTTCCCAACCAAACAGAGGGTTCATGTATAATCCCTTGCCTAAACCAACTTCTGTATTTGATTATGACACAACTAATGACCTAGTCATGGAACAATTAATGAGGACAAGGAAAAAAAAATCAAGGTATGAGCAACAGCTGACAGATGAGGAGAGAAAGATATGAGATGATATCGTCTCAGCTGTCCAATAAAAAAAAAATGGGTTCTTCTTTGTCTATGGCTTTGGAGGTGCAGGAAAGACATTATTCCAGGAGTCATATTGACAAGTTTTCATATCTTATTTCACTTTACATCTCACATAATTTAAGGTTGTCATATAACATTTTTGTAGCAAAAAGGAGTATCAAACAGGACAAGTGCCTAGCTATTTTGAAATATCTTTTGTTTATGAAACTTGTGATCTTTTTTAGGCCATTAGAACTTAGGAACTCTGTATGTGTGTAGTGTGAAGTATTTTGAATGTTCTCATACGAAAAAATGTATTTGACAACAGACGATTTCTTTCATGCATATGCAAGATGAAACAAGTTTTTCTCATCTTTTCACAGATTTGCATCTTCACATGTATTATTAATCAGAATTTTGGAAAATAGTTAATTATGCATCTTGTTCTTTTCTTATGTTTGCTTCCATTAGGATTATGAGTTCTCTTTACTTTCATTCTATACGTGGCTTTGTTCTTTTCTTATCTGTCTGTTGCACCTTTTATCCTTATACACACAAGCACGTAATTTTGTTGTTTTACATGTTAATCTTATTGTAATTGAAAGTGTACCTTGTCATTTCTTCAACTAATGCCTTTTAGTTTCTAATGATGCTGTGATTAGTAGTTTTGCTTTGTTGTATGTTTGCTTATTTCTTTGATTGGGGATGTGAAATTTTATGTAAATTTGAATTTGAATTGTTTTACTATTGATCTTGGGTCAAATTGAAGGATTCTTGTGTTTTTTTGGTTTAAATCTCGTGTTCCATATCTGACTTCACTACTACAAAATAAGTTTACAGGAGCGCTTTTTTTTTACTTTAGGGAGCGCTTTTGAAGCGCTCTCGTATCGAGCACTCCGAAATGTATAGGAGCGCTTAAAAAAAGCGCTCCTGTATATACGCTATACGGGAGCGCTTTTCGAAAAGCGCTCCTGTAAGGGAGCTACATACGGGAGCGCTCTCTACAAGAGCGCTCCCGTATGCAACCATACCGGAGCGCTTTTATAAAGAGCGCTCCCGTATGAACCATATAGGAGCGCTCTCTGGAAGAGCGCTCCTGTATGTTACTTTACAGGAGCGCTTTTCAAATGAGCGCTCCCGTATATTACTTTAATTTTTTTTAAATCAGATTTTTTGAAATTTCTCCTTTTACGTCTCTTTAATAATGACAAATCATAATATCAAAAACTAATTTAAAAATAATATTAACATAAAAATTTATATACAAGAAAAGAATTTGAAACTGATACAAAAATTTTAATTTCCTAACTAACCTAGTTTAATTTCTAACAAGCCTAACAAATGAAACTATTGTTATTTTTCTAACATTGAAATCTAACTTCCTATCACAAACAGCAAATAATATATTCTGACAACTCTTCAACTAAATCTTCTATTTGCTCCATAGTAAAATACGAACATCTTACTCCAACAAAATACTACACAAGATATGAAAGCAATATATAAGGAATTAACATTATATCAACTTAATTTTAAAGTTTTTGACTTACATTTTCAGGAATGATCAACTCTTGTTGTGTGATTACTTCTCTCATAAACTTCATAACATAGTATCCACACTCCCAACCTTGTAATTGTGTAGGTACCTATAAAACAATAAAAGATGTCATTATCAAAATATGGTGAAAATAAATTCTAACTTAATTTAAAATACTTCAGCGATGAAGTTATATATATGAATCATTTCATCAAGACGGTCAACATCATATGTCCCACTATCACGATCAAATGTTGAGTAGCTCGCACTATCCCTCCAATCATTTGCATCATTCCTTGTCTCCCCATGCATGGTTCAACAAGTATAAGTTGGATCAATCCCATTACAGATTAAATGATCTTTCAATTTTATTGGCTTTACTCTTTTTCCATAGCAACATTTCAAACAAGGACATATGACTCCAAGGGGGTCTTGATCACAACAAAATGCAAATTCAATGAATTCATCCACACCATCCCAATATTCTCTAGATAGTTGATTAGCCGACATCCACTTATGATCCATATCACTAATATGATTATCAAAATTCAATAAACAAAAGACTTAGATTTCTATAAAAAAAATTCAACAACATCTTCCTTAAAAGAAGAACCTCCCAAATGATCAAACAATCAAATTCCACAACACAATACATTTAAACTCAAAAAATTAATTCATCCAAATAAAAATTAGTAGCATAATGCATCTAAATTCTGTAAATCAATTGTAATTTAATTAATAACAATAATCTCTCTTAAAAGTATATTTCATAAATAAAATAAAAATGTTCAAGTAGTTTCCTCAACTTTAATCTAATTATCAACTACAAATACTCCATAATTCTAATATAAATAACTCCAATTCATATATTATCTATAATATTGATTATTAAAAAAATATATGTGAAATTTATTCTCAAATATATATAAATATATCACTATATTACATTATAAATTAATTATTAAAAAAATACCTTCCCAGTGTAGTCTTCACGGCAGAAAACGGAAGTCTTCACGGCAGTAGCGGAGGTCTTTGCAGCGTTGCTTCCTCGGCTGTACAGCAATGACACACGGCTACAACGGAGGTCTTCACGGTGTCGCTTCCTCCGGTGTACAGCAGCCGCACAAATCTGGAACAGCAATGTAGATCTAGAATAGTGATGCAGGAGATGGCGGTGACGGCGACGGCAGCGCAAAAACAGAGACAGATGGCGTGACATGACACAGAAATGAACAAACAGCGATGAACACTAATCTGGAACAACGAACAGCAGCAGACGATGATTTGGAACAGCGAACAGTGGCGAACAACGATCTGGAATAGCGAACAGCGGCGGACGACGATCTGGAACAGTGAACAGCGACGGAAGATAGACTGATACAGCGATGATCTAGAACTCGTTGGGAACGCACAACCTCAGCAAATGAGAGAGAGGTTTGAAAGAAACTCATAAATAGGGAAAAGAAAACTGACAGGAGGCAGAGATATAAAAGACCACCTCTTCCGGAGCGCTCATTCCGAAAGAGGTGGTCTTCCGGAGCGCTCTTCAAAGAGCGCTCCGGAAGATCTCTCTTTCGGAGCGCTCTTTGACGAGCGCTCCGGAAGAACAACTCTTTCGGAGCGCTTATTCCAAGAGCGCTCCGAAAGATGAGCTCTTTCGGAGCGCTCATTCCAAGAGCGCTCCGAAAGAGTTGATCTTTCCGGAAGATAGTCTTCCGGAGCGCTTAACTACGAGCGCTCCCGAAGGTCTTTTTAAATTTTTTATAATATTTTATTTATATTAATTAGGAGCATTATCTTATTGAAAAGCCCTGACATATAGGAGCGCTTTTCTAAAAAAGCGCTCCAGTAAATTCCGCATTTACATTTTAGAGCGCTTTTTAAAGAAGCGCTCCTAAATACCCGCTCCTAAAGATATATTCTGTAGTAGTGCTTGAAGAAGCATAATTTGCAAATACTTATTTATTGCATTTTAATGTTAATTTTATTTTCAGTACTTTGTTGAGGCTGGGGCATTTGCTGTAAGGCGAGTGTGGAAAAAGGATACGTGCCATGTTGCCAAGGCGAATAGGGAACTGGTGTTACTTTGGTAAGTCCTTTGCTTTTCCTTTAGTATGATTCACAACGAGGGTTGTACTAATCAGTAGTAAACTGAAATATTTGCTTTCATCCTAAGTAGCACATCTTTACTTGTCCTTGTAGTTTACCTTCACGAACATGCATTCCTATCAAGTAACTTTGCTGAACTAATCTAACAAAATGGCAGCTTATTTCCACAAAATTTTCTATAATGATTTACTATTCTTTTATTTATAAATTGATTGAAGTGAAAATAATTCCCATTCAACAGGTAGACTTTGTTTTCTTAATTTTTTTTACAGTTTTTTTGTTTTTTATTTTAGCTTCGATAGATAAAGATCTTATTGTTTTGTTCTTATTTTAAGCATAACCTTATTTTGTTTTATTTAGGAAAAAAAAAATCATGTTTCATTCCTCATTTTTATAATTTACCATTTTTATATTGGTAGAGTAATTGTGTAAAATAGATTATTTGTTTATGATTGCAAGTTCAGAAGTTAATTTAATCATATAATTTATTTAAAAATATGAAAATAATTTAAATTTAGCTTATAAAAAGCGTAATTCAATTTTAAAAATTTTTAAAAATTATTTAAAAATGTAAAGAAGAAGAAGCAAAGCAGGTTGACTTGCCAATCCACCTATGACGGATAACCCGTCAGAAAGTGGATCAATTTTAACCCATCCTGTCAATATAACAACTTGCAGACCGACTTGGATCATCACCTCAATAATTCATCTCTTTGTTCATTTCTTGTTCTCTATTTTAAAAGCACTGGAGGCTAAAACCAAATTAAGTGGCTGTTTGAATATGCTATTATGATTCATTATTTGTACCGAAATAATGTTTTGATGAAAATTAGCCAAACACTCCTATTTTTACATAATTAATTATGTTGCAGTCCCTTTTCAATTTTGATTATGCTGATTGAAACATTTATTATTTGTCAACATTTCAAAACGCAGGCTTTTATGATTTATGACATCGGCGTTTGCTCATGCAGTACCAAATATACCCTTGAGATTTCGTGGCTCATTATTTATATGACATATCGTGGCTTGGGGACATTTTCTTGGCATTCAAAGATGTCCCATGCATTCATTTTGTTAAAGTTTTGAGCATTATGCATGTGTTAAATAATTCTATAAATATTAAATATATCACTATTATATTTTTTTTAAATAAATCAAAATAAATTTAATAATATGAAAAAATTAATTATGTGTTATAATTGAGTTATACATATAAAAATCGAGTTACAATAAGTTAAAGTTTAATAATTGAGTTACAATTGAGTCAAAATTAAAAAATTAAATGATTAATTTTTTTCACATAACATTATATGCAATTTTATCAATATTTACCTCAAAATTTATGTCCTTTATTGTAAATTATATGTTTAAAATTAATTTTAATTAAAATAATTCAAACATCTTTAATTCTATCAAAATTAGTTTTTCATAAAATATCATCCAAACGTTATCACGTTATAACATAATCAATAATAATTAAAATTTATTTTGTTAATCAATTATTTTATAATCAATTGTACTAATTGAAATCCAAACAGGTCTTAAACTATGTTTGGAGCTAGAAGAATGGTGAGATTGTTATATATATATATATATATATATGAAGAATGGCAAGATCAAGTATTGAGAAATACTCCCCCTTTCAAAATATAAGCATTTTCTTCAATCTAATCTTAGACTTAAAATGTAAGCAACTTAGTAATTGTAAAGTGTTTTTCCTCATTTTGATCTATTGCATTTCTTAATATGGATTTTTGCATGAATTTAGAATATTCTTCTCACTCAGCATTGATAATTGAGATTAAGAATACAAAGAAGAAATATATTTTTTATGAGAATAAAAATTTTATTAATATACAGATTTTGTTGAAAGTTGTTTACATTTTGAACTAAAAGAGAGTAATTGCAAACCCATCCAATAACAACATTTTTTGCTAAACTAGCTTTTACAACTCGATGCATTGCATAAGGAACATTAACTGATTAAATATCAATAACATTTATTACACATATTTCATCTAGATGTGTGTAATTAATTTTCTTATATTTTCATAAAAATTTAAAATGTAATAGACTAATCATGCCAATTATTTGTAAAAACTAACATGCAAATCTTAGGAGAAATGGAGATATATTGTCAATCTAATTTTTCTCCACCAACATGAATCAAAGCTTATAATATTATTAGTTGATTTTTTTTTCATAATGCTTTTTCCCCATATGGCACCTTTTTTAATATATACACACACACACATGTTGAAGTGACATGGTCAAATATAGACTGACTAGGCAATTATACATTTATATTTGTGTTGAAGGGATGCTTTACATAAAAGTTTACTGTTGTCTTCTATATTTAGGATTAAACTTTGCAATAAAAACTTACTATTATCTTTCTAACATTTATTCATGTGTTATGGCCCAAAAGAATATATTTAAATAGTAGTTAAATATTTTGTTTTTACGTCAATTAAAGTCATAACAATTTAGCAATATATTTAAATATTTTAGAGGCCAAAATACTCCAAGCAAATGAAACTATTCGGGAATGGATGTGGTAGAAGAGAAGTTGAGAGTAAAAAAGTGGAAGGAGAGCAAATGGAAAAAAGAGAAAATTGAGGGAAAAAATGTTATTACTCTTTGTATTTGAATGGACAAGAGAAAACATTGAGAAAAGAAAATGAATAAATATCATATTGATTATAATATCTTTATATCAAAATATATAATCTTTCATACAATTATTTTTGTAAAAATAAATTGAAAGCAGAAATTATATTAAAATAAACACAATAAGATTAATCTAAAATCAAATTAGTTGCTAAAAATATATATTTTCATGTTATTATATTTTAAAATCAAATAATTTAGTAAAAATGTATTATTTTTACATTTAACAATTCAAACGTAAGAACATTTTTTAACGTAAAGATATACATTATACATTACTTTAAATAGCTTATTTTTTATGTTATTGCACTTGTTTCTCTTACACATACCGTTCTACCGGATTATAATTATTTCATCACTTTTATTTTTTTGCTAGCAAGTTTGTTTTAGATTGCTTTCTTTGTTAGTTATTTTTAGTACCCAAGTCAGTCAAGTTTTTCCCATATGTTCAAAGAGGACTATGGTTAATCATTTAAATGAAATAGATGAAGAAAAATAGAAACAAAAGGGCAACGAAGAACACGCCGAAATAGAAGATTAAGCTACTGACTGGGTCAAAGATGATGGGTCTCCTAATACACGTGAAAATGAAAATACCAAAAAAAAAAACATATGAAAAAACATTACGTCTGGGTCAAAGATGATGGGTCTTTTATATTTTCTTTCCTGTCATATTTTTTCTCCACCCAAGCAAAACATTAGAAAAACCATGCATTGACAAAAATGACCAGAATTAGTGTTCATAAGAGAACATGGGTGGAATACATTTCTATGATATATTGGTCGAGGAGAATGTCGCCTATCATTCTCGCTTGCTTTCCAAATTTTATATACTAATAAAATTTTGAACCATTATCTTTTTAATCTTTTTTTGTTGTTAATGACCTGTTTAGTCTTTGAAACTTCACAATGATTGGAGAGTCGCTCTCTCGTCGAACCTTCGTTTCGTGTGACCTCTTCCATTTGCCTCCTCTTTTCTTTCTCTTTTTTATTGAAATATTTATGAATTTCCATTAATTAATTAATGAACCAATAACATATTGATCTGTGATTTTGTATAGAGTGTAATTGATGAACCATACAAGTGAGTCAAATATGTTAAGACTCAACATATAAGTTTGTCCTGTCAATTATTTTCTATCCCTATGAATGTGTCAAAAAATATCGAGAGATATAATATAATTATTTATTTATTTATTTGATATCGTCAACAATATAGTACTTTCTTATAGACTATCAGTCAACAACCTCAAATTATTTCTTCCTCCTTCATCTCAGTGTCTGAAAGCTAGGGCCCTTTCGGCCTACATTCCAAGTGATTGAGAACTCATTTTTCAAACCTATTAACTTTATTTATTTTATTTATATGATTGATTGATACACATTTAACGTTCTTCTCCTTCTTCTATTGAATTCATGCAGCTTCACTGATCTTTTTGTTTTGAAATTTTCTCACTGATGTAAATTTAAGAGTTAATACAATGCCTGGAGCCGCGTAAGGGTCGTCAACACTGGTGTAAAATGATGAGCACCTAAGCATAGTCGGCTTACTAGCCGAGGCTAGTAACATACGGATTCAGACGCCTCATAATCTCTGGTCACTTACAATTTAGAGGAACTTGAAATTTGTTTGAAAGGTAATATATTTTCTTCTTGTCTCCCTCGTTTTCATTTTATCTGGTTTAGCTCATATGCTCGATTCAATCTTTGTATGGTTGCTGGTGTGACCTTCTGGCCTCTGTTAAAAAAAATATCTTACTCAACTCAATATTTTTTTGATTTGGAATGACAGTTTTCTGCGTTTCTCGAGAATTTGAAAATCTCGACAAGGTAATTTATGCTTAATTAATCAAACAAGTTTATCCTGAGCTTCACTAAAAGAATGTTGAGATTGTTATTAAAAAAAAAATGACGAGTTAAGCACTAAGCAGTAAGCACATATGCTCAGAACATTTGAATACGCAGTTAAGAAGTTGTGTAACCCAGATGCCCGGCAACGCTTCAGTGGATTGTTTGATAGACTATATATGCCATAACAAACTCTTCTGCTTCTTCTTCCCTTTTTGTGACGATATCGGAGAAGATTCAGTGTGTTCTGTTTATTAACCTTTGCATGCTTGCAGATGGCTTCAGTAGAGGAGCAGATAGATCATGACTTTGATGAAGAAATCGGTTCTGGCTCTATAGAACTTGGGAGAAAAGTCTCTAATTTTGGTGTTGAGATGACACTTGAGGCTAACACAACCATGCTCAGAAAAATATTGATTAGATCAATCATGAGCTTACACTTTGTTTTATCTAAGGAAAAAATCTGCCTGATGCTACCTTTTGGTCCCTTGGCATTACTGCTGCATTATCTTACTGGAAACCAAGTATGCTATTCAACTTGTTCTTGAACATTTTTATTGGTCTTTACTTGCTTTGATTTTTATAACAGGAGAGGACTTTAGGATCGCAGTGAGGCTTTTTCTCTTGGGGACTTTAAACTCATGTTGCCTCATATGTTATTACAGAATATCATGTTTTATTTGGGCTTATTGGGCATGATTCCTCTGGGCGATCGTCTAAACTATGCCTCTAAGTAAGTGTTGAATTGTCTTATCTCTCTCAGTATGTTACTGTGGAGCCAGTTTAATTGATGATTTTTCTGGCGCAGGGAGCTTGCTTACTACACACGGCCCATAGGTATAGCCGTATAGGTCATTGCCGATTCATTTAATTACTACTATCATATGATATTGTTTAAAGCCTTGAATCCAAATCCAGCTCTTTCTTTCTGATATCTATATAGTTATTCATTTACTAAATGGTCTTTTTAGCTGTACGGCTGAACCCGCTGGTCCATATGCAGTGAGGGTTTATCTGTTAGCCATTTTTAGCAATGCAACTGATATGATCATATCCATTCATGCACTGAGAAATGGAATGTTGAGCACTGTTCGGGAATCTTTACTGGGCTCTGTCTTGTCAAACCTGCTTCTTATTCCTGGTTGTGCTTTCTTTACTGGAGGGATTGTCCATTCTATGAGGTTGCAGTACTTCAGTAAGGTACTACTAAAAAACATAATCTGATCTCTTAATTGTCCATGTCCCTGATCTGAAATTTCTGTTGCCCTTTGCTGCAGGCATCTGCTACAGCAAGATCTGGGTTGCTCTTGATGGCTGTCATGGGAATAATGTTTCCAAATGTGCTTCACTTCACTCACACAGGGGTTCATTTTGGAAAATCAGAGTTATTTCTATCCAGATTCAGTAGCTGCATAATGCTGGTGGCGTACGCTTGTTACCTCCATTTTCAATTTCAAATTAAGCAGAGTCTTGATGATACTCTTACTCTGGAGGTTTGTTCTTTTTTCCGTGTTTTATTCCGACATATTGACACGAATTTTGATGATGCTATGATTTTATATCTATAGGGTTGTATCACTGCATCAAAAGAATTTTTTTCCATTTATTTTGTTGCTCGCCTTAGATAGGAAAAATGTTTTGTGAGAGAAGGGAAATTTCTTCTTCATAACTTTGCCTGAATTTTAAGCAAAAGATCTGATGACAAAGTTTCCCTTATTCAACTTTACTTTGTCATCACTGTACCATGATTAGGAAGTTGATGAGGAGGAAGTATGTGGATTAAGCAAATGGGAAGCAATCGGCTGGCTAGCTCTATTAATAGCATGGACATTTGTATTAACGAAACACCTTGTAGATGCGATCCAGGTGATGCATTATTAAATTTTGAGAACACCTTGTAATTTATCGTCTATGGATCATAATTGTTATAGTGTTTATTGATTGTGATCACTTGCAGGTTGCATCAGAGTCAACGAACATACCACAGGCTGTGATAACTGGTATTATACTTCCCCTTGTAGAACGTGCAAGTGCTATCATGTTTGCCATGAAGGACAAGATGGTAATTTAAGTTCTCGGAAAGCCTGCACTTTATTTATTTATTTTGCTGATATTAGTTGTTACTTGGTTGATATATGATGAACTTTCTTACAGGATATAACGCTTGAAGATGCTGTTGGATCATCTATACGTCTAATTATGTTTGTGGTATGATTGTTGAGAAGGTTGTCTGTTGAAATATGAGTGAAGGTAATACAAAAGGCATGACAATTCATACTTTGGTGATATTGACATTGCAGATGCCCTTCAGCGTGCTTGTTGGCTGGTTCATGGGGCTATGGTTGGACTTGAATTTTCCACTTTTCCAGACAGCTGTACTTCTGATGTCTGTCCTAATTTCAGCATATGTTCTGCAGGTATGTGATTTCCTTGCCTACTTCACTGTCTTATCATCATTAACAACTAAATCCCAAGGCTCACATTCTCCTCACAAGTCTCCTATTGTTTTGAGCCTTTCTGATCCCACAGACCTTTTATCGAAATTTCTATGAAAAGGAATGAGGGTAACAATTAACAAAGACTGAATTTTTTATTGTTGGATCATAGGAAAGCTTGACGTTAACTGAATTTTTAGTTTCTGAGAAATTCTGCTTATTAATTCCTGTATCTTGATCTTTACACAGGAAGGGTTCTCACATTATTTGAAAGGGTTGATGCTTTTACTATGCTATTTGATTGTTGTGGCCAGTTTTTTGGTACATGTAGAGCCTGATTCAGAGGATTAAGGATGTGTATGCAGAAGGATCAGTTACGGCCAACAATTTCTTCACAGCTTGTGGTTATTTTCTGCAAGGATGGATTGGATTAGCTCCCATCACGTGTTTTGGTTTCAAGAACTAAATCTGGAATTTGTAACCTATAAAACCTTAAGATATGGCCTAAAATATTTATCATATATGGCCTAAAACCTTAACAATTATTTCCTGCACGGATGGATTGGATTATTGTTTATTGTGTCGCATACTGAATTATGGGAATTGGTTATTGATGTATCTATAAAAATTATAAGAGGCCACAAAAGCTGCTGAAACAAAGCACATCTGAGGAGCACATTCTTTTTTTGAATAGAAACCTAAGCTTCATTAATCAGTTAAGATCAACACACAGCAAATACACCAAAGGAAAGCAAAGAGAAGGGGTCACTCTCTTTCATCACCCGCCAACTCATGCAAGAGAGGTGGGATGCTCAGAGAGACAAAAAGGCCCCTCAATTATTGCACAATGTAGTTAGTCTTATAGCAATTTGATAAAAATATTTTTTTGAGTTTATTAAGTACCTTTGATCTCAAATAACTTATTTAATATTTTTTTCAATTAAACCACCCAGCTTGTTTCATATATACAGCATCCTTGTCAATTTTTTCATGCTAAATAATAGCTTTCAACATATAAACTTTTTCACTTGATATATAATCTAATCTCTTAATTTCACTTTTAAATTACTATTAATTAATTTCTTATCAAAATTACAATATAAATATTCTATCTTACTTTTATTCAGGCAAAAAACATTTTGACTCTATTGCCATCCTTCATAACTCAAGCTTATAGTTAGTATCTTTTTTTATTTTTATAATAAAAACTATATCATTCATCAAAAGCATGCATTTAAAGATTTTTCTTTTTAAATATGTTAGTCAAAATATATAGGACTAGATTAAATAAATAAAAATTCAAAGATAATTTTTAATTTAGTCTAATCGATTTTTAATTTAGTCTAATCTTTATAAAAAAGTCTTTCATTTCACTATCAAGCCTTCTATATATGTAAAAAAAAAAAAAATAAGGATGGCACGTATGCACGTTAAGTTTATTCATAATTATAAAAGCTCAGCCCAGATGTCAATTTGATTTGGGACTCTTCGTCAGTTCTAATTTTGAGTTTTATTGTAAACGTCCTAAAATTATCTTGATGTCAGTATATTGAAGTTGACATTAGAGAGATAGGAAATTTTACCTTTAACAATTATTTTGATGATCTTCTATCTATCCATCCGTCCATCCATCCATCTATCTATCTATATTTTCAAACCTTGTTAGCGTATTTTTTATTCTCAAATCTTAGTGAATGAAACTTAATTGATAAATTAAATTTATTATCACATTTTCATGCGAAATCTGATTGGTTAATTAAATTTATTATCACATTTTTACCTTATTGGTCAAATAAATTTATTATTATCACATTTTTATCTTATTGATCAAATTGGTCAAATTTATCTTATTATTATCTTATTGATCAAATTGATCAAAGGCCCCTCAATTTGTTTTCCTCCCTTCCCCCACCCCCCCTCTCTCTCCGCGTCTCCGCCTCTAATACCGATTCCTAAATCTTTCTCTATCCGAAATTCCGAATCCAATCAGCCATCAAACATGAATCTGCCGGGGGATTCCGCCGGCGGAAGCACACCACCGTCGTCGAAAAAGCAGCTTCAACTCCAGGGGCCACGCCCACCTCCTCTCAGAGTCAGCAAAGAATCTCACATAATTAAGAAACCACCGCTGCCACCACATGCTGCCGCCGTCGCCACCCACCAACATCCCCGCCTCTCGCCTGACGATGCCAGCCAGCAGCGGCAACCGGTGATAATATATTCCGTATCTCCTAAAGTCCTTCGAGTCCCCGTCAGCGACTTCATGGACGTCGTCCAGCGCCTCACTGGGCTACACTCGGTCAACGAACAGCCTTCTGGATCCGGAGCTGTTTCGCCGGCGGCGAAGCTGGCTTCGATCGAAAAGACAAGCCCATCAGAGAAGGAAAGATTGCGGAGCGCCGGAAACGACGCGATGATTGAATTGGAAGGCATAGATGTGGGGCAGTTCCCGGGAATATTATCACCGACGCCGGCAAGTTTAGGGCCGATACCACCGGATTATTTCTCACCGGTCGCAGAAACGCAGCCGTTTTGGCATGACTTGAGCATCCAAAGTTTCTTGTAATTTCTCTTGCCACCCATGATCTTCTCTATAAAGATGGCTCATACAATACCACCATTACGCGATATGCTACTTTATTTGTCATCGAACCCGCCTCTCATGAAGAACACTTTGTCTTTTTGTGGGTTCATTTGAGCTAATGAAATTTTGACTAAAGTGAAGGAAAGCCCATGGTAAACAAGGTGCATCGGTTGAACCATAAGAAACGAGATAAGCAGAAAGACATATAAAAAATGCAAACAATAAGAGGATTGTTAAATTACAGCTGACCAACGAAATGTGTTTTACAACTTTTGTATAATAAGGTTGATTTTAATGCTAAACAAAACAAAAATTAGTAAATGCAGTATTCATATTAATATGCTTTTAAATCATAAATATTAAATTATATATTTTTATATAACAAAGAATACATTTTTAAGTAAAAAATTCAAATTTAATCAATTTTTTTGTACAAGTAAAAGAATTAAACACTTTAAAAGGGTCAAGCACTCTTGTGTGGAGGGTTATAATTGAATCTGACTCTACAATTGTGAATATGTTGCAACAGTTATTGTCAGGTTTATGTGTAAAGAATATAATCTTTCATTAAATATAGAATATGATTGATGATGGTTGAAATATATGAGTGAAACATATTTATAGGGAAGGAAATTTTAGTGTTAATTGTTTTGAGTAAATCTCCTAAAAGTTTTCGAAATTTATTGTATAAAAGTAGACTGGCCTTAAGTTTCTTGAGGTTAATTTTGGTGTAATTTTATTTGGGCTTTGCCTCACTATGTTAAAAAAAAAAAAAAAAAGTCAAACACTCAAGCTAGTTGGTGAAAAAAATAAAAACAAAAATGATCATGTAAACATAAACACATAGGCATATTTCTCTTCAAATTTCACATCATGTTCATAATGATCACACACATTTCGCAATTTTTTGTTTTTCTTTCTCATCAACCACAGGATGTGCGAGAATCTCCTCACTGCTCGCACTTCACAATTTCTAATTATCACAAAAATACTCCAAGAGTTTAAGTTACAGTTAGACGACTTAAAAACATTAATACAATATTAATTTCACTATTTTTTAACTATTTATTTTTACTTAAAAATTTTAAAATTTATTTTTTTGATAACCTTGTTACCAAATAGTTTCATTAGCTTTATTAGACCTTATTGAGTCTAAATAAACCCACTAACCACTAATACAATTCTCACATTATCCATTTCCAACCTAAGGTTCGTTCAAATAATTTTTTTAATAAAATACTCAAATAAATCATACCATCCTAGCAACAACGATATATTCACAACAACTCCATTCCATCCATCTATGTCAATCAAAACTTCTCCCATTCTCAAAAATATCAGAAATTTTAAATTATAAGAAATCCTAAATCTTTCATAGTCAAAATTTTTTTAAAAAAAGTGAAGAAATATACTCAAAAAAATATTTAAAAAATTATCTAGTCTTAAAAATCACTAAATCATATCTAAAGTATATATTCCCTTTGATCTTATTTATAAGATACCTTTTAGAATTAAAATATAGAATATATTGTGATAATTAAATTATTTTTTTAATTTTATCCCTTCTTAATTAGTGTGAAAGTATTTCATATAGTTATATTACTACTTAAAATTAAGTATTAAAATAAAGGTACATCTTACTTTTTTTATAATATTAAAAAAATACTTTTTTAAAATATATAAAATAATTGAAATTGTTATGTAATAAGGATTAGAGAAAGTATATTAGAACTTAAGGGATGGGTTTCGCTCCACTACTTTTTTTTTCTACTATCTCTCCATTGTAAATCTAAACTGTTTAAATTAAATCTATATTTTTTAAAATTTTTAAATTTAAATTTTTAAATTTAATTTGACGGTGCAGATCTGCACTAGTTTCTCCATTTCTCTCCTTTGCAAGGGAGAATCCACCTCCAGAACTTAAGGGGTTGTTTGAAATTATTTTTATTTTATTATTTTGAGAACTGATATTCTGTAGAACATGTTTTGAGAATAAAAAATAATAAAAATAGGTATTTTTCTCATTCTCTCTTGTTCTCCATAACAATAATCACAAAATACTTAAAAGTTATTTTTATTTTTTTATTCTTCAAAATAATATTTTATTTTTTTATTTTTCAAAATACTTTTTAAAAATACATTACTAAATAAATTTTTTTATTTTTTTATTATAAAAAATAAACAACTATTATCAAAATAGGTTTTCAAACAGGTACTAAGCTTTTAAAAAGTTGCCCACCGACACTGGTCTCTTCCTCTTTCGTGGGCATACTGGAATGCAGAAGTAATTGCTCCCCTTGGTAGATTTTAAAATTAATGGTGCGGGTCCCATATCTTCTCCTATTCATTTTTCATTTTTTTTAACAAATATATATCCCCTCCCAACGGTTCGCAACCCGGCCTTCCGCGTGTATATATATTATTTTTATTTTATTATTCCTTTATTATATCCCCTTCATCATTTTTAATCAAATCTCATTTTCAATAAAATAATTATATATTTTTAAATTAATTTTATTTTTTATATTTATTTTTATTAAATATCTTATAATAATATAAAGTTATTATCAATAAAAATACTTAAAAAATAATAATTATATCTCAAAAAAAAAAAACTTTATATCTCAAAAAAATAAAAATATTTTATATTTTTTAATACTAAACTCCTCAAAAAATATCTTATATTTTTAATAGAGAAAATATGTTTGATTTATATGTTTATTAATATTGATTATTTTCTTCTAAAATTCAAAGTGTTAAACTAAGTTTATATATTTTTATTCAAATAAATTTTTTAATTATATTAAAATATTTATAACAAGTTAAGTTGTAACAATATTTTAAATAATTTAATTTAATTCTTCCTGATTTCATTTATTTTATTTTTTTAAAAAAACTATGACTTAAAATAAATTTTTCAAAATTTAATCCCACACTAATTCTAATCATTTTTTAATTCATTTTAATGTGTTAATTTAAATTTTTGAAATGTTACATTCTAAGTCTCAGTCTTATTGTAGTGGAATCAAGTCCTCTTCACTCAAATAAATTTTCGTTAATTTTATTTTAAAAATTTTAATGCTAAACTAAACAGAAAGTAGTAAATGCAGTAATTAGATTAATTTTAAAAATCATAAATATTAATTTATACATGTTTTATATAATGCAGATTACATTTTTAAATGAATAATTCGATTTTTGTCTTTTTTTTTTGTACTAGTAAAAGAATTAAAACCTTGAAAAGGGTCAAGCGCCATACAAGCTAGTTGCCGAAAATATAAAAACAAAAGGTCAAGTGATATTTATAGGTCAAGATGGTCTAAAGTATTGGACGAAATCTAATTGCAATTCTCTAATGGAGACAATATCATCTTTTCGTGTAATCATCATCAATGAATTAAGAGGAATCATGAATGTATAAAAATGGAGAGTATATTCATTCAGAAGCAAAAGCATAAATACATTGCAATAGAAAAATCCATAAAAAGTAAGAAATTGAAAATCCTACTACTTCAAGTGCCTCAGACGCTCTTTCGTCGAACCTTCGACTTCTTGTGTCACTTCTCTTCCATTTGCCGGCTGTCTACGCCACATATGAATATTGCCCTCGCCTCCTCTTTTCTTTTCTTCTTCTTCTTCTTATTCGGCTTAGCTTGAACACCCCCCCCCCCCCCCAACCCCGGGGGTCTTCCTGATTCACTGCCCCACATAAACCATATAGCTGCCAAGAAGTCCAAGAAGATATAGACACTCTTTGTGTGGATCCCACCAGTTTGGGTCTCTTCTTTTTCTTTGATTTTGCTGTTTGATTTTTAGCCGAGCTGGATCCATCTTGGAGATCTTAGTACTCTTCAATTCAAATCCAGTGTCTTTCTTAGGCAATTCTCTTTATCTTCTATCTTTTGCGATTGATCTGGTTATTTGGTGGGCTTCGTGATTGCTGCCACTTTCTACTTGCTTGTGAGTTGTAACTTGTCAACTGATCTGCTTTACGTCAATTACGATGCAATACTACTAATTTGTGGTTCACCTCGACCGTATCATTTGGATTGTGCTCAAAGCTGATGCCTTTTAGACTTGCCCCTGGCTTATTTTTACTGATCTTCTTGTTAATATTGGCGATGTAAACACATCCCTGTTGGGGTTAGGTGCAAATCAAATGCTATAACGAGCCAAAATAGTGACATGAAGCTTTGAACAAGTGGGGCTGGTTGCAGGCCACATATTTCCATATATATTGCTTCGTGAAAACGGTTGACATAATAGCTGCCAAGTATTCTTAAGGATAATGGAGTGCAGTAATCTACATTTGAGGAATACATTTTTTAATTTCTTGTGTGGCAAATTGCTAATAAATATACTCCTTGAGTTCCTGCATTTATATTAATTTGTACAGCACTTCTTTTAGATCATGTTATGAGCTTGTGAGGTGGCCTTATTCTTGGTTTGTCCGTGTCTGGTAATGATCAACATCTCCCTCGGCTGAAAAATTGGCATATTTGTTATCTCTGGATGCAGATGGGTTCTGCAGAGGATAAAATAGACCTTGACTCGGATGAGGAGATTGCTTTTAGACCTTCACCATCTACAACAAAAGTCCATACTTTTGATTTTGAGACAGCAAATGTACTTTCTCCTGTAAATTTGGCCAGCTCATCCTTCTTTAAGCGGACACAGATCCGGCCTATCAGGAGCATGTATAATGTCTTAATTAAAGCAAAGATCAACATGTTGCTACCTTTTGGTCCCTTGGCGATATTGCTACATTATGTGACACAAAAGCATGTATGAATCTGCTTCTTGGTCATCCAGTTGCCATTGGCTTTCAAACTTTGAATAAGATAAAAATGGGTGTAAGAAATAGGAAACCAGGTTAGAATTTTTATAATAGCAATCTCTTCATCACAGAGAACTTCCTTCTTAGGTTCTTTTGGATTTTGTTTTGGACTAGGAAACGACAACCTTGTGATATGCATGTTGATAATAACAGCCGGATATTATCAAATGGTTGGAATTTGAAACCTTCTCAAAGTTTATAACCCTTGGACGTCTAACAATTGTTAGTTCATGGTTGCTTCTAAGTTTTTAGTTTATTAATGGTTACCTCATATTTGTTAGGGATGGGTGTTCTTTTTCAGCTTACTGGGTATTACTCCTTTGGCAGAACGCTTGGGTTATGCTACAGAGTAAGTGTTGACTTGTCCAACAAAATTGGATATTTGCTTGCTTTTTCTTATTCTATCCACAGCTCTAACAGATGAATTTGCTTGCATTTGGGGCAGGCAGCTTGCATTGTATACTGGACCAACAGGTATAGTTGTAGTTTTCATGGTATAAATCTTGTTAGGTATGAAAAGGAAGGTATTATATAGATAGTTGTATGAGGATGATAACACTATGAGAAGCTTTTTGTTGGAGTTTTTGGTCTGCAGTTTTAGGTTTTGTTATCCTTCATTCTAAATTTACTAAATAAAACACATGAATCAGGAGAGTTTGCTTGAACAATGGTTGAAAGTTTTGCAGACAAATATCATGCATGTTGTATTAAAATTTTTTCCTATTAATAATTTTGGATGTCCCTCATGATAAGACCTAAGTTCATATGGAATTATTTAGCTGAAATCTTCTCAAATAATTTGAGAAATTTCTTGCCACATTTCATCATCAGAAACGTGATTGAATTTATTATGATCTTTGAAGATAATAAAGATACTGGAGGTGGCTGTTTTGTAATGGAATATGAATGCATAATTTTCTTCCAAGTATTATTTGATTGCTTCTTTTGTCCAATTTGTGGTGAAGTTAATCGAGAAAAAGCATTAAAAATTGCCAATGCTACACCTATCTTGCATCTTCAGTTATGGTCTAACCAATCTTCACAACTTTACTCCAGAACCAAGGCAAGGGTTATCCTTTCTTTTGGTTAATTTTGGTGAAGTTTAATGTTATCTAGCATTTCATGAATTATACTGGGGTTAAACGTTTAACATTGTGCTGCAGAGGGCAGTTGACAGACTCTTCTTATAGACTGCATGTAACAGCCAATGCTAATAGAAATACATTTTATTCCCTGTGGCCATGTAACTTTAGCATTGTGATGTGGTTGCTAGGCCTAGATTGTTCCAGAGGTTGTATTATTACACAACATAATGCTTTTGAGAATGAATAGCACCTCAAGGCATGCAACCTAATGCTTTATTAAGTCTATGCCTAAGTGCCCCTGATCTATGTTTACTAACTTTGCAATGGCATATGCAGTCGGAGGTCTTCTGAATGCCACATTTGGTAATGCCACTGAAATGATTATATCAATTTATGCTTTGAAAAATGGGATGATTAGAGTCGTTCAGCAGTCTCTATTGGGCTCAATTTTATCAAACATGCTTCTCGTTCTTGGATGTGCGTTCTTTACTGGAGGGATTGTCCACCAAAATAAGGTTCAGGTTTTCAACAAGGTAGCTGACATATGGTTCGGAAATGTTTCTTTCCATTCTAGGCCTCTTGATGTTCATATCGTCCCTGAAAAGAAAAAAAATAGATATTCACATTGACACTGGCCTTTGCACCAGGCATCTGCTGTTGTAAATTCAGGGCTGCTCTTGATGGCTGTGATGGGAATATTATTTCCTGCTGTGCTTCACTTTACGCACTCAGAGGTTCATTTTGGAAAATCAGAGCTATTGTTATCCAGATTTAGTAGCTGTATAATGCTAGTGGCATATGCAAGCTACCTTTTCTTTCAATTAAGAAGTCAGCATAATCTTTATAGCCCTATTGAAGAGGTTATCAACTTTTGCTCCTCTTGTATTTATTCATAGTTGTGTCTGAGCCTTATGACTTGGAATTATTTTGTTAGACGCCTCATGATTCAGTTTGAGGCCTAATATATATGTATTTATATTTTGAAAGCAAGTCTATTTTGTTTTGGTAATTCATGCTACATTATGCTTTTAGATTACTCACATTTTTGAAGAAGATGAATCATGAATATGCTATAGGTTTCATGACCTAATATGCTGCATGGTCTTTAAGCAATCATTCAATTATATTCTGTCTCTTTCTGTGTTAACTCAGTTTACATATTTGCTAGATGCCATATTTCTAGAGAATAAAAGTAAATAAAATAAATATCCACATTAATGCTCAGCATTGTATAGAGTTTCTCAATCGAACCTGCTTCAAAGCCTCCCTTCCTAGAATACAAAAAAGGAATGAACTTGAAATTATAGAATTCACTAATGTGTGTGTGACGTTCATTGGGCCACTTGATTTGAATGTCTAATTAAGTTTGATTCCACAAGAAGGACGAAACTGTATTCAAAAAGGAACAAACTCGGTGGAAGTAATTAAGTAGACTGTTATCAGGTGGTATCCAGGTTGAATTTTGAGAGGATTCTCAAAAAGAATACGATCTTATAAAAGAAGATTAAGGCTTCATTTTGCTAGACATGCGTTGGTATGAGCAGGATTTTTTTTTTGGGCACCCTTTAGAATATTAAATATTTATTTTGAAGTGTAAACAGTGTTGTGCTTATGTGACTTTTTGTTTGCATTAGATGCTTATTTTATGGTATTATCCTTGTTTTATAATGTAGGAAGATGGCAATAGTGAAAATGACGATGAGGAAGAAATTGAATTAACTAAATGGGAAGCAATAGGCTGGCTTGCTATTTTGACTGTATGGGTATCTGTATTGTCTGGATACCTTGTGGATGCTATAGAGGTACGATCTATTTCTTATATGTTTGTCCATGTTTCTTATATTTGTCTCCTTAATGCTCTTATGCTTTTGAAATGTTGAGTGTTTGCTCTCATGACTTGTTAGTTCTTTTTAATCTTTGTTCTGTCAAGGTTGAACGTGCATCTGCCTCTAGAAGTAGAAACTGAGGACCTACTCAGGTCATAGATCATATCCTTATAATTTTATGGCTGGTATCATGAATCCTTTTAATTCGTAAATATGATCTCTGTCCTTATCTTATTTCCTACATAAAATTAGTGGCAAACTACCCTTAGAATAGCATCTGGCTACTGATGAGTTTTGGATTTAAGGTACTGGAGTTGTATCTAGGACGAGGGAATTTGGATTCAAATCTCAAATTGCACTGGAATAGAAATTCTATATTCCTAGCTGGTTTTACTTCCAAAATAGTTCTGTTTTAGCTTGAATGAACCGAATGTTGCTGGGAAAATATTTTTCATGGGTCTGAATCCACTTTCATGAAGTGAATTATGAATATTTTGTTATTTGTGACTATATTTCTGAGGTTTAGAATGTTCAAAACGTGCTTCTTCCTTCTTTCTTTGTTGGTAGTGAAGGAACTATCACGTCCCTTGTTTGATCTGTTACGGGTGTGTTGATATGTATTGCATTTGCGGTCTGTTGCAGGGGGCATCTGAGTCATTGCATATGCCTGTGGCTTTTATTAGTGTCATATTGCTTCCAATTGTAGGCAATGCTGCTGAGCATGCAAGCGCCATCATGTTTGCCATGAAGGATAAGCTTGTGAGTCACTTTCAAACCCTACATTTTATTCTATGTTTACTGCCTACTTGACTGATGGAGTCATTTTCTCTGAAGGATATCACACTTGGAGTTGCTATTGGATCTTCTACACAGATATCTATGTTTGTGGTATGCTCTTGAACTGTTATAAACTTGTTATTAGGGATTTGCATCTGACCAGATCATTTCGTGAATAAGGTAACGTTGATTTCACCATGTCATAGAGAGAATTTGACGAGTTTTTCAATGCTTTGATAATTGTAGATCCCTTTCTGTGTTGTTATTGGGTGGTGCATGGGAAAAGAAATGGACTTGAATTTTCAACTCTTCGAGACCGCCACACTTTTTATCACAGTGCTAGTAGTTGCATTTATGTTGCAGGTACGTGATCTCCTGTTCCCCCTGCATGTTGTGTTATTAGCGTTATTATTTGTTAATGAATTAATGTTTTCCCAACTTTGAGTGACCTAAACTGAAACATTTTGGTCATAAGATTGTCCAATGTTATCAGAATCAGACCATGCATTAAACCGGTCGGGACATTGATTCTGATAGGTGCTCAAAATAAGAAAAGAAAACAAGAGAGATAAATCTATCGAAATGATATAGAACAAGAATTTTGTTCTATACTTTTTTCAATAGCCACGCTTAAGAGAATATCCAAAGGGCTTAAAGAAATTATTTTATTGATGATATGTTAGCTTTTGAGTTGCTAATCATATTTATAAAGGCAAATACAAATGAAATCTAGATAATGAAAGACTAAATAAAATTTAAATATAAATAAGATCTAAATCTAGGTAAAAACTAAATATCTAAATGAAATCTCATAATAAATAAAATCTCCTAAATAATATTCAAAAAATAATAAAATCAGATTTAATTTATCTTTTATCGCTTTCTTCTCGAATAAGTCTTTACGGGAATCTTATCAGATTCACTGAACTGTGGTGGATCAAGGTTGGACTATGGTCGTACCAGTCTCAATTAAAATCATTTTTTTTTAAATAATACATATGAAAAAAATGACATGGACAATATTTATCCATATATTGTCATGCATGCCCAAACATGTCCCATACATGCCAAATTAACACAATCTCATGCATTTCCAACTTAAAATACTATATATTGTCAATTACAAACTATTAAAATCATCAAGTATGCTAGATTAATTGTCCAACCAAGCTAGTATAAGCTTCCATAATTAAGCAGAGCCACTAATAAATCATCAAATATATATAACACTAAAGACAAATCTACCAAAAGATAAATAAACATAGAAAATAACATAGTTGTGGGTTATTGATTTTTGTTTTTAAAAAAAAAAGAAAAACCAGTTCTAACTAGTCTCCCACTGATTCTGACTGGTTCCTACTGGTTCACTAGTTGGAGCTGCAAAAAATCCAGTGGTCCCCTCTAAAAACTGAATTGCCTTTTATTTTAACAGAATCATGAACGTTTACAACATTTCCAAAATGACCAAAGTGCTCACAAAGTATATGGCCATCACAAGACATACATAAAGACAACTAAAATTAACCGTACACAAGTACCCATCTTCACTAACTCCTGTGGTCGTGAATGTCATGGAATCCAAGGCAATCATGCTAGCCAGCTGAACGAAAGGAGCCTTTCAAAATATCACTAGGATCAATAAAAATCCCAGAACCTGCTACTCAAAAGTTTTCTGATCTTTTGGCCAACGAAAGCCTCCTGATCTGAAGAATTGTATAAACAATTGACAGGAAGGGGCAAAAAAAAAAAAAAAAAGAAAGGAAAGAGAAATACACACAGGTATTCGTCTTGTAGAAGGACCTCTCATATGGAAATAAAACATTGAAATCAAGAAGTACGATATATGATAAGATTGAAAAATATTGTTTTAGAACACTTAAATTTATCAATTATGAGAAACATTTGATAAAAATACTTTGGGAAAACATAAAATCCTTTTCTACTAGGTTTTCAAATGAGAGGATTATAATTCATCCATATCATATCTTTGGAGTTGATTGCATCTAAGGGGAAGCTCTTTTTCCACCCATCTGTACCATCTCATCTTTTTATGGCAGCTATTCCTAATGAGTAGCTCATTTTCCGTCAAATGCAATCATATCAAATGTTGGGGGGCAGCTACACCTCGTAGACAACTCCTTGCCTCTCATGAACGGTTGCTCCTGACAGATAAACCTATCATATTATCAACCTCAATCTACTAATGGCTATGAAATTATAGCGTTGATTCCCAAAACAAAGATTTTAATCAGATCACAATCTGAAAACACATTTTTCAGCATGTACATCCTGTAACATCATATGAAATGGAATGGAATTCAATTATATTTCTAATTTGAGTGCTCAAATTTGTCGCATCATTTATCTAAAGAGCATGCTCATTATATTACTTTCCTGATCAGCCATGTTTAATTAAATATTTGAATAACTTCTACAACTAGTGGGCTAATGAAATGCAGTTTCCTCCTTGACGTCAATACTCTATTTAATGCCATACAACATCACAATGCCCCAGCTATTGGCAGATGCAGTACCTCAAGCCAACATGGCCTAAAAAAATAGATCTCTCCTAGTTACTCCAGATCTCTCATTCCATAATTTTATGTATGTTTAGTAATTTTATTGGAAGCTGGATTCCCTCACTACACCTCCCCGGCCCCCACCCCAGTGGCCTGCTGCCCCCCCCCCCCGGGACAAATATTTATCTCCTTCTAAATGTTTAAAGCCATACTTTAAAAGTAGGCTATAAAAAATTTGTAGCTATATTTTGCCCCCCATAAGTAGTAGAAGAAAATTTGGCCCCCTAGAAAATAATCCTTGATCCGTCCTGCCCCACCCCATATTAGATACGGCAACAAATCCTCCAATAAGGTTTATGGCCTTTGCCTTTCTTTACTATTATTGTCCGGTCCATGGATCTCTTGGTTAATGGATTTATATACGCTGGATGGACATTTATTTAACTTTGGGTTTCAAGTTAAAAGAGGGCATGATTGATTGGTGCTTGTGATGGAAGTTGTTTATCAAAAGATGTATTAGATTTTGGTAAAATGACAATTAAGGACCTTATTAAGTAATTAATTCTAATTACGGGTATTCAATTATTGAAATTTTATTGAAGGACCACTGGGAGACAGCCACATTCTCAAGTAGGTTACCTGGTTTTTACAGGTGATTTTCCTGGAAATCACAAATTATTTTATGCAATTTCAGTAGTTCCAATTATGAACAAAAGGAAAGTTTGAATTAATTTCACAAGTTATTAATGGAACTACTGAAATCACATATAATTAGTGGTAAATTTCAAATAAACCATTTGGGAAGATTAGGTAATCCACTTCGGAATGGGGTTGTCTCCCTGGGGCCCTTCAACCCCATTCCCAAGTGGGTTACCTGGTTTTCACAAGTAATTTACCAGATTCACAACTATTCTATGTGATTTCAGTAATCTAGTTGTGAGAAAAAGAAAAATTCAAATTAATGGGAGAATGACAGTAAAGTTCCAAAACAGGGTTTTTATGACAATTAAATCTTTGACAAAATTTTTTAAAAAACAAGTTGCAAATTTTGGATTCAAATAGGTACAGACAGGATTCTAGTTGCAAACTCAGAATTATATTTGGAATTTAAATATCTTATTTGCAATTAAAACTCCTGAAGTTGCAACTATCTGAATCAATATTTACAGCTGATTTTATAGAAAATTTTGTTGAGGACTTGACTATCATAAATTCATTGTTTTCGGACTTTAATGCCATTCTCCCAAATTAATTTGACAAGTGGCAATGAGACTATTGAAATCGCATATAATAAATTTATGAATTCCAAATAAATGATCTGGGAAAACTTGATAACTACTGGAAATAAGGTTGTCTCCCAGTGGTCCTTCAATGAAATATGAATAATTGGAAGTTTGTAATTGAAATTAATGGCTTTATAAGGTTATTCATTGTCATTTTGCTGGCTCAAGAGTAATTTATTGTTGAGGACTTAACTATCATAAATTCATTTTGTTGAGGACTTAACTATCATAAATTCATTGTTTTGGGACTTTAAATTCATTGTCATTTTGTTGAGGACTTAACTATCATAAATTCATTGTTTTGGGACTTTAATGCCATTCTCCCAAATTAATTTGACGAGTGGCAATGAGACTATTGAAATCGCATATAATAAATTGTGAATTCCAAATAAATGATCTGGGAAAACTTGATAACTACTGGAAATGAGGTTGTCTCCCAATGGTCCTTCAATGAAATATGAATAATTGGAAGTTTGTAATTGAAATTAATGGCTTTATAAGGTTATTCATTGTCATTTTGCTGGCTCAAGGGTAATTCCAGCTCGAAAGACTTACTCCAGTAAAGAAGGCAAGGCAGAGAGGCTTATTGGACAAAGGAGTGACTGTATCTGACGCTAAGGGAGGTCATGGGAGCGTAATGTATTAGCGAGAAAGAGATGGCAAAGGGCTTAATATGGGTTAAGGCAGTGAAAAAGGGGTGCGAAGAAGAATCATATTGGGGGCCTTGCTGTCCTGCTTTTAATCTTTCTCAGTGTCATCAATAGCGAAGAATTTCAATATTGAAGGATGTTTGTCTTGTCTATGCTATGTTGGTCTTGTATCTCTGTTTGTCCTGGTATAAGTATGTTGCAGTGTATGGTCAAAATTTCAGTGCTCTGTTTGGCGTTGAACTGTGCTATTATTATTTTTTTTTTTGAAATCTAAGCTCCACTTTTTTTTGGGCATTGTAGCCCCTATCATTGATGTTTATGACAGCTGTCTCCACATTGCTTTCACTTTGCAGGAAGGGACTTCAAATTATTTTAAAGGCTTGATGCTTATTCTTTGCTACCTCATAGTTGCAGCCAGTTTTTTTGTACATGTAGACCCTAGAGATGGTGAGTTACTGAAAGTTTACTTTCATAGTAAACTTCTGAGAGCCTGAAGGTTCAATGAGTCTCCATTAGCTAACAATCATGCCCTTTTTTCAATATATATATATATATATATATTAATTCATCAAACTTACGGGTATCAGAATTGAGTTCTCTTTCTGAATCATGATTCACATTTGAGTCTGAATTGACTTTATCACAATGACTAACAATAATCTGATTGTGGGATTTTGGTACAGATGATGGGTGAATATTGTGGCTATGGCAGCCATCTTTGAAGCCTTGCTTCTGCATTACCGAATTCTCAAAAAATGGTTGAAAGTTGTGTGCTTGAAGGTGAAGAAGGTGGCTTTTCAGAAAATTCCTCTACTAGAATCCAACAAGATCCTGCCTGAATGTTGCATTGCACTGAGTTAGATCAGGACGAAATTGTATGTATAAATATTAAGTTTTTATTTTTTCTTCCCAAGGAATACGCTTGTGTATTTGATCTCCATAGTTTATATTCATTTTTTTGAGTATTTCATTAGGCTCTTCATTGAATCAGATGGAAATTAACCTATCACGGCCCAAAAGAGCATGCATTGATAAATATTTTAATTCATGGATTGCCTCACCTCTGCATGCAATAAAACATTCTTCTTTTGCTTTTCCGAAAAATGACATTATTATATTTATAAGTGTATCTTTACACTTAACTTTATATAAGTTTCAATTTAATCCTTTACTTTTATAAAAATTTTTTTAATCATATAACTTTAATATCAATAGTTTCCTTTTTTTTTTGACCAACCAATAGTTTCAAATAATGGGTTTTTTTGTATTAATTATTATTATTTTAAAAAAATTAAATTTAATGTATCAATATTTGAAACTGTTTTATCAAATATTTAAAAATTTAATATTATATTTTTTTAATTAATAAAATTAATAATATTAGAGTTAAAGGATTAAGAAGATATTTTAAAAATTTAATGAACTAAAATAAAATATTGTATATAGTTAAAGTATCAAAGGATATTTTTGTTATATAGATTATCATCACCTAATAATACTGGTCTTTTTATTTTTTCCGAGTGGCAGAAATATTTTTATTCACAATTATTTTTTATTTTATTTCATTCTATTTTGATCTGCTCGAGATCAGACTGGTCAATTTTTTTTTTTTGGGTATGAAATGACTGGTCTATTTTTATACTGATCTTTTTTGTTGAATGTGAAAGTCAAAACTTGTGGACTCATTTGAATTTTCAGATTCTCATGAGCTTCCGAAGCATCTAGACTGATCAACTTGGGAGTAGGTGGCTCTACTCCATTTAATCATATTTTTTCATTATTATAAACACATTTCACTTTCTGATATCAAAGAGAACAACGTCCCTTTTTGCATGGTTGTTTAAATACATGATCTCAAGTTTAAGTATTTATAAATATTAAATATATATATATATATATATATAAAACTTTTGAGATTACTATCCACAAATAATATTCGTTCAATGATCTACTTGAAAAATGTGACATGTTGAATACATTTTTTGCAATTTTGTTGATTTTATTTCTTATTGATAATTAGTATAATATACGCTAACGCTTACTTGGCATAAGGATTAAAAAAAATGGTGTTAGTACTATAAAAAATATATATAAAATGTTTTAAAAATATATTAGTTTTTATATTTCTCAAAAGTGATTTCTTTCCCAAAAAAATCAGGAAAAAATGAACAGACCCTAAATCAAATTGTTAAAATAACAAACCTCAATCACAACTTTTATTTAAAAAATAAAAATTTTTATTTAAAAAATTATAAAAATTAAATAAAAAATACAACTTGTCAATAAGAATAAAATGATCTTTTCACTTTAAAATTTATTGATACAAATTTTTTTTTTAAATTTTAATATAATTATAACATTTCGAGAGATCAAATTATCATTAATATAATTTAAAATATTTTTTTATTATTTTTTTAAATAAAAATACTAGAAGACAATTTCAATTGTCATTATTGCTTAACCGTGTTTAGTTTGATTTGAAGCATCTAGCTGGTACATCTCACTCGATGTGCTAACTTGCTTTTTTTTTTTTTTTTTAATGTTCTATTTAACCATTTCTTGTGGGGAAGGAGATGGAGATCTCAAGCACATGCATTTCACGCACACCCACACGCCGCACAACAATCTCACACACAGAATATTTTTCTCTTTTTTAATTTTTTTTTTGGCTACCTTCCAAAGTTGGACACCAACAATTAAATTAAATAAAGGTATAATATTTTTTTATCAGTAGATGCGGCTACTTAACTTGATTGGAGACTAGCAATTTAAGAAAGGTACTTACAAAAACAAGCCATGTTCATTGTTCCTTGACAATCCTTGTACTGTTATTAGATTTTAAAAAAAAAAATAGTTTGATTTTTCATAATATAAGTCGTAAAAAAATAATTATTCACTAACAAATTTTATTCCAAAATTGTATCATATTAGTTCATTTTTAAAATATTTTCCTTTTTCTTTGTTCTTCATTAAACGAAGGATAATTTTAAAAGTTTATTCTTCTTTTTAGAAAAATTAAGATTCCAAATTTTAATTTGTTTTATTAGTATTCACAATTTCAAAAAAAATTATAAAATCATACAGAAGAAATAATTTATTTAAATCATCATATTTTCTTAACTATTATTTATAAGTTATTTTTAACTAATTTACACAAGAAATTTTAAAATTAGTTAAAAGTATCCTAGTTTTATAAATATCATTAATTGAACATAATAAATTCTAACACAATTTAATTTATTTCTCTTCATTTCTTTAAAATAATTACTGAACAATATCCATTCCGTGGACATTATTTAAAAATATTAAAATTCTTTTTTGGCTAAAAAATAATTAAGATTAAAGTGCACATTTAGTTTTTTATTTTGTAAGGTGTCTTTTCAATTCTTTAATCCTAATATCATTAATTTCATAACAAAAAATTGTTACATGGAAATTTTAAATATAGGTAAAATATTATCAAATATTGACATATCAAATTTAATTTTATAAAATAACAATGATTGACATAAAAAATAATGAAAAAATTAATCTTTTAATCTTTCAACTTTTAACTCACTTGTAACTCAGTCTTTCAGCTATGACTCACTGTGACTCAATCCCTCAACTAAAACTCACTGCGACTCAATTCCTCAACTTTTGATTCACCTATAATTTGATCCTTATTTTTAATTTTTTTAAAAAATTTCTTATCAAATAAGAGGGATAAAAATGCTCATATATTATTTTAAAATACCCTTCTCTTACTCATTGATGTGAGATATAAGCTAACATGAAAAAAAAATTAACGAAAATTCAAGGATTAATTTGTAAGTGATTTAAAAGTTGAGGGACTAAATCATAGACGAGTCATAGTTGAGGGACTGAGTTATATAAAAGTTGGAGGACTAAAAGATTAATTTTTTAAAAATAATTATTTAAAACTAATAATGTTAAGATTTGAAGACTGAAAGATATTTTATAAAATTAAGAAACTAAACTAAAATCTTATATAAAATTATATGAATAAATTAGAACTTTAGCCAAATATTAGTTGCTTTATAAATTTTATAAATGACATTAGATAAAAACATGCAAAAAAAATTTGAAAATAATTTATAAATAAAAATGCTTAGCACAGAAGTATTATTTTTTCATTTACAACAGTTTATAAAAAATTTGAAATGCAAGGTTGACTATAAATAAATTAATCATTGAACATAACAATAAAAAAACAAAATCATTGAATCAAGCTGGACATTACAATGGAATCACTCAATTATTTAAGTGGAAAACACGAAAACTAAAAAAATAATGGAGCTGTTTGAATTATTTTTATTTTATTGTTTTGAAAATTGGTGTTTTTTAAAATATATTTTGAAAATAAAAAAATAAAAAATAAGTATTTTTCTCATTTTTTTTTGTTCTCCAAAACAATAATCTCAAAATATCTGAAAGTCATTTTTATTTTTCTAGTCTTCAGAATAATATTTTATTTTTTGTTCTCTAAAATACTTTTTGAAAATATATTACCCAACAAATTTTTTTTATTATTTTGTTCTGAAAAATAAAAAACTATTCTCAAAATAAGTTATCAAATAGGCTCAATGTTTTCACTTGGACCTTCTACAGTTTTTGCCATTAGTTTTTTGCATTCCATTGAACCTTCTTGTTGGTCAAATAAATTTTCAAACCCTATTTATAAATTGAAGGTGGTTGATACATCATTGTTTTAGGAGTTGCTTGGTCCATTTTACTGAAATTCACAGAAAATTATTTTCAAAAAATTTATAAATGATTTGATTTCTTGTTTCCTTTTTTACGTTTTCAAAAGATATAATTTTGTTTTAAAATAAATATAGTAACCTTTTGGAGCTAAAGACAAATTATTCTCTTTCACGTAAAACAAAAGGTGTAAAACTCTTGATTTATTTTCTTAAGCTTTCTATATTATTAACTAAGTCAATTTGAGCAATGCTGGCATCTAAATGAGGAAAGAAAACACTTTCCAAACGTGCTTTTTTATATCAGATTCCAATTCAAGAGTTTACTTAATAAATATTGAGTTCTTTTTACTTGACAAAATCACCTTTGATCTATGAAGTCTTTTATTTTAAGGTGAAGGCCAATTTTTTATTTTTAAATTGTATGAAAGTTTACAACTAATTATAAATACTAATTATAAATTTAACTATGAGTCATTTATATCCTTAATATTAAAAACTTTTTATTTTATCACCTTATCATTTTATCCGTTCATTTTTTTTAATGAGGCCCATTTTTAATTTTTTTGAATAATTTTTATTATAAAATGTTACTTTTGAGCCCCACATTATTATTATTTTTTATTTTTTCCCCCTCTCTCTCTCTCGTATTTGCTTGACCCTCATCATCTTCTCGATCGTCTCACACTCTCCATCTCTCCCCCCTTCGTCTCCTTCTCTCTCCCTGTCTTCTACCTACTTTCTCTCTTAGTCTCTCGTCACCCTTCTCCCTCTTTGCTTCGCTTCTCAAGGACAACATCAGGCCTCAACTCCAGCATCCATGGGGTACCAACGCTGCTCAAGGGCAGCATCACCATCAAGAATGAGCTCAACAAGACAACAATAACAAACCTCATCATGTTCACCATGCGTGGTGGAAGATGAGGGGCAAAGAAAGAGAGGAGTGTCATGAACTATGCATGCATGTACACATGAAGGTGTTTTGATTGAAGCTATTTCAGCTTGTGATAGATGGCCATCTCTTCCACTTTCTTTCTACCTCCTCATCTCTCTCTCCCTTGTTGAAGCTTGCATGAAGAATCCATGGACACATGCTCGAGCCCTCCATCGTCAACCTTTGGAGGATCCATGCCTTATTTAGGTGAACTCGCACGCTAGAGGTTTCCTTTTTATTTTTTTATTTTTTTTTGGTTAAAAATAGAGATATCATCAGAGTTCGTCGGTTTCTGCTAGGTCCTACAAAATGCATGCATGTCGATAGCCGAGCTTGGTGGAAAACTTGGAAGGGTTGGTTCTAGACTTGCCCTCTCTGGTCTTGGATTTTAGAACAGAGGTCACTCGTAAGGTTGCTGGGAAACTTGCTCTGTTCTTGCTCAGTGGTTTGAAACCTTAGGGAGAAGGGAGATAGGGACTTGAGGAAGAAAGAGGGAAAGGAGCTTCCCAAATACTCTGAGGGGGAGGTGGTGAGAGGGATTACAAGCGAAAAACGAGACTGATGATTGTTCCAAATAATTTGCATGAACTTCTCTTTCTTCAAGCATTGCCATTTTCATTGAATCTCTATTTGAGTTTAATAAAAAAAAAATATCAAAAAAATGAATGGTGCAGGATTAGAGAGATAGGGAGGAGAGAGGGAAGAAAATATTAAAAAAATGAGTTGTAGGACCACTTAAATATTTTATAACAAAAAAATATTAAACAAATTCAAATGTACACCCTACTAACAATTAAATTAGATGAACTTAATTGCAAGATGATAGAAACTAAATTTTTAGCAGGAGCAAAAATGACTCCAAATCAAGTTTAATCATTTGTACACTTTTATATACAAGTGCAAAAATGATCATTAACTCTTTATTTTAATATATCACACTATTTTCAATTTGTTTAGTTGTACAAAATATCAACTATAAATTATTTTCAATATAATTTGACATTCAATGATGATATCATGTAACATGGCATTTAAGATAGTAATTAATTAGCAAAAATGAGAAAGTAAGATGCGACTAGTACAAAAAACAATATATATCGATATCGTGGGTGTGGGAGGTAGATACTAGTAACGTCTTTGGTTGGAACATATTTTTGCACATCATTGTTGCAAAAACAAAAAACAAAAAAATATAAAAGAAATACAATCAATAATATCACACATAGATGATGGATGGCTATGAAGAAGGCATCCATGCATGCATAATCTTCAAATCCATGAAAGCCTTTTTGCCCATGAGGTGAAGGGTAGCATTGTAATTGTACATAAGATGCTTCAGTTAGCAGAAGCTAGTTTGGCTCTGAGGTCCTTTCTTAGGATCTTGCCTGATGGTGACTTTGGAATCGCATCTATGAAGAACACTCTGCTTAGTCTCTTGTAAAACACCACCTGCACCATCATTATCTCACAATCAACACTATTTTCCTAAAACATTACATAAATTTTTTTATTTCCTCAAAATTTTATTTTTGAAATATATATATATATATATATATTGTGAAAATGATTATCATCAATTATTAGCAATTAATATTTATAACTCAAGCACACACAAACTTGATATCAAAATATATAAAATAAGCTACTCGTGATTTCTTTCTTTGAAAAATTGATTTGTGTATATTTTAGAAAGGAAAAAAATAAATGATGAAGCTTATATAAACTTAAGGTAATTTTTTCCAATCAAATTAGAACATCTGTCTGTATTATGTTATCCATGATTTATTTATACAAAATACTATTGTTATTAATACATTTAACCTGTTTTCAAGTTTTAAATTCATTAGCTATAACTTGATTGGTAAAAAAAAATAAAATAACTATATAAGCTTAAGTAAAAGATATTTAAATAATTTTCTTGATTCAAAAGATTTTCATATGAATTTTGAAACTCTTATAAGAAAAATTATTTATATATATATAATTTCAATCCCATAAAAGAAATGTATGTGTATGTAGTTTATTTTTTTCAATTAATTAAGTGAAAGGGAAGGAGAAGAAGAAGGAGAAACAAACCTGTTCTGAGATGAACTGCTTGATGTCATTCTCAGTGGTTTGAGTGTGACCGTTAGATCTGACCACAAAAGCAACGGGCACCTCTCCAGCTGCTTCATCCTTCATTCTGAAACCAAAACAAACCAAATCCACACCTTTTAAGATAATGGGCAGAGATTGTGAGGCAATGTGCAGGGAGTGAATATTAAGATACGCACGGGACCACGGCGGCGTCGGAGATGTGAGGATGAGAGAGAAGGAGGGCCTCCAGTTCTGCGGGGGCCACCTGAAAGCCCTTGTACTTGATCAGCTCCTTCAGCCTATCAACGATGAACAGCTCATCGTCGTCATCGATGTAGCCTATGTCTCCCGTATGCAACCACCCCTCCGCGTCTATCGTTCCCTTCGTTGCCTCAGGATCATTCAGATACCCTGTCCATTTTTGTCCAAAAAACATTTATTATTATTAATTTTTTAATTTATATTGACATTTGAATAGATTGATACTGATTGGTGAAAATGAATAATGGTAAATGTTATCCTTAAAATTCATGCAAGAAAAAATTGATATGCAAAATAAATCAAACATACAATTGAATTCAAGATGCATTAAATCAAATAATTAAATGTAGATATCAATATCGTTGTAAGGAATGAATGATTATACCAACGGTTACATAAATGAAATGCTCAAGTAAAACAGACACATTTGGTCCAAAAGAAAGTACTCTAAAACAATAATACATTTTTATAAATTTATAATGATAACTTAATATAGTATAAATATATAATCAGATAATGAAAGCCTACAACTTACGTGCAAGTGTAGTCATATACCACATGTGGCCTAATAAAAATGGACCATGGTTTTGACTTATAAGGTAATTGTAGACCAGGCTTGCATTTCAAAATTATTAAATTATTTAACACAAGCACATGCACTTCTTTTATTTATTTGTTTTTTTAACCTGACAAAGTATTCCCTCCAATCCCATACAAGTCACTTATAACAATCTCACCAAATCAAGTAGATTTAATTAAATTATTAATATTATCTAAAAAAATAAAAATTCTAATTTACCATAACTAAATCATTATTTTTAAAAATATTTTCTCTCTCATAAGTAATTATTTATCCTAACTCCGCCTATATTTAAGCCGATCCCAAGCCCGGGTAAAGGAAGAGGGTTGTGTTAGATCATCAAGCCAATGTAAAACTTTGTTGAATCTCATGAACATGGACAATAAAAGTAATTATTTATCCTACTAATAAAAATTATAAAATAATAAAATTGGAAGAAAGTAATAAATAATACACCTTGTGCAAAGTAATTAATAAAAAGGATATCAATTTCTTTTACAACGTGACTTATTATAAACTAAGATTTTAGTACATTTTATAAAAAAAGCATAACAACGGTGGATGAGAAAGGTCAAAGGTTGATCTGGACGGCGGAGAATTTTCAAAACAATCATGATCATTAATTGAGCGCGGGCATTGTTTGGTGCGAGGGAGTACCATCCCAACCAATTAAAACGACACCGTAAGCCAACCGTTGAAAGTTATATCTACCAACTTTCACGTCCAAAAAAGGTAACAATCACAAGTAAACTCATATTATGCCATAATTAATGTGGCTACATCGAGTGGCAAGAACGAGGAGGGGTTAAAGTATTAAAAAACTATAAAGATACTTTATAAAATTAAAAAAATAAAATAAAGTTTAATATAAAATTAAGAATTGAGCAAGGTGATGAGGATAAGGACAGGCAAGGAATAAGTGAGATTTATGATGATGATGATGATGAGGTACCTTTCATAATTTGATCGCCTCTGATGCAGATCTCGCCGGGGTGGTTACGTGGCAAAGATTCAGAGGTCTCAGGATCTACAATCTTCATCTCTGCATTCCTCACTACCGTCCCACACGCTCCTGCCTTCACCTCCATCGCTTCCTTCGCAAATGCTAAGCTCATCGTCAACACTGGACCTGCCTCCGTCATCCCATAACCCTGCACAGATTATAATTTGAAATTTTAATTTAAAATAATAATTATTTTTCATATTAAAAGTTAATTTAAAAAAAAAAACAAAATGACAAGCATACAAAATCCAAAAATATAGAAACACAGAGCAGCATGGAATATGACGGGCATTGATTCGAATCTCTTCATTAATGATTCAATTCATGCCCTCCACCACTGCTCACCAACCATGGTTGCTTATAATTTATATATTATTAATTATTTCCAAGAAAAACCCCAAATATTCTTTATATCACCATCCATCCTCTTCATCTCATACAACATAATATGTATATATGTGTGCGTGTATGTATATATATATATATAATACAAGTCCAACATAAGTCACACCAAACCCATCAACCATACATATCTTATCTACCTATATACTCTCATACTTTTATCCGTCCAAAATTTACGACACTTTTTAAACTTCTATTTAATCCAAATATATAAAATGGAATAGTTTTTATAATCTTTCTCAACTATATCCTCACTCTATTTATTATCCTTTTAAAAAAATAGTTCATTAAAATTTCACTTCAAGTATTATTATGAATACAGTTATATAAAATATTTAACAAGGATATAATAAAAAAATACACATAATTTTTTACTATATTAAAATTTCAAGCAATGTTTAACAGTAAAATAAAATAGTTATCAATAACTTATATGCTATATGATAGCATGTGTGTGTCACATGAATAAGTATTAAAATTGAAGAGGAGAGGTAAGCCAAACGTAAAAGATTGAATACCTGACCGAGTCTGGCCTTAGGGAACTTGGACCTCAGAGAGTCTTCAAGTTCTTTACCGAGAGGAGCACCACCGGACTTCAATACTCTGATCGATGACAGGTTGTAATTATCGATATCCGGGGACTTTGAGATGGCCAGCACGATCGGCGGCACCACCGGAGCGATGGACACCTTGTATTTCTCTATCAACCTCAACAACCCATTGATTTCAAACTTGGGCATCAACATGATCGCCGCCTTCGCCCTCAATCCACACAGCAAAACAGAGTTCAGCGAGTAGATGTGAAACAGGGGAAGCACGCACAGAATCACATCTTCATGGTGGAAGTATAGGTTCGGATTCTCTCCGTCCACTTGTTGGGCTATACTCGTCACCAATCCCTTATGCGTGAGCATCACTCCCTTCGGTAACCCGGTGGTGCCAGAGGAATACGGCAATGCGACGACGTCGTCTGGTTTGATTTCCACCTCGGGAACATCGTTCTCGTCCGCCTGAGATAGCTCTGAGAAATGCGAGTGTCCGTCGGGAGGAGAATCGACGAAGATGAGCTTCATGTCCAGGTCCTTCACTTTCTCGTAGTAGGATGATTGAGTGATGAGGATCTTGGCATTGGAGGCTTTGGCTTGTTTGGCAATCTCCGCCGGCGTGAAGAAGGGATTCGCGGCGGTCGTCATGGCGCCGCGGAATGAGGCGCCGAGGAAGGAGAAGACGAATTCAGGGGAATTGGAGAGGAGGACCATGATGACATCGCCCTGACCGACGCCGAATTTGTTCAATCCGGAGGCAACTCGGCGGGCGGTGAGCTCGACGTCGGAGTAGGTGTAGATGTCGCCGGTGGGGGCATTGATCAGGCAAGGATGGGACCCGAATTCGGCGAGATTCTCGAAGCAATAGGAATGAAGAGGAAGGTGTTTGGGGATGTAGATATCGGGAAGTTTGGACCTGAAGATGAATTCGTTCTGGGGCTTGGTGGTCTCTGTGGCAGCCATTGGAGGAGCTGAACGAAGGTGAGAGAATGAGAGAAAAACGAAGAAGGAGAGAGAGACAACGAAGGAGATAGAGGGAGTGTTTGGTAATGAGGATTGTGTGTCTCGGTCTCCTGAAGGAGAATTCGGTCGCGAAGGATTGTTGTAATAAAAGGAACGAGGTGGTGTTGGTGAAGATGGGATAGCGGGGAATAAGAGAATTGTTTTGGGCTAGAAATGGGAATGCGGAGGAGATGTCTTAAACGCGGGGTTGGTGAAGCGTGGGAAAATAAGGGGATGTCCTTTTTTGACCTGAAAAAACAAATATATGTGGAACCTCTGAATATTTTTGAACTATTTCCCAACAAGTCAGTGAAATTGAACATGTGATTTTTTTAAAAAAATATTTTTATTTTAAAAACATTTTATAAAATTACTTTAAAACTTTACAATTAAAGGGACCTTCAAGTAAAATAAATACTAATACAAGGAATCAAAATTTGATAGCAATGAAATAATTTTTATAAAATAAGTTTTCAATACATCTTATAAAATAATTAATTTGATAGCCACGAAACGTTAATTTTTATTATTTCATGGCTATCAAATATAAATTTAAAATATCTGAATCATTGACAAATTATGAACTAAAAGCATGATAGGATGTAATTGAGATTCAATAAGTAACCTAAATTTATTCACTCAATAAAATATTTTAATTATAACCATCAAATTTCAACAATATTCAAAAACTATTAAGATATATTTTTTTAAAAAAATTCAAAACAATTCTTACAATTAGAATAATTCTCGTGTATATTATCCCCTCAAAAATTTAAAATTCAGTATTTTTTAAATATCATATGACAAAATATTTAAAAAATCAATAGTTGTTATTGCAATACATAAAATTCTTATGACGAATTAGCTAGAGTTTTGTAATTTTTTTTAAAATTTTATCTATAAACTAGCCCTTTCTCATAGGCAAAAACACACACATTCACGCAATCATGTCAATGTTAGAATTGAACTTAGAATCTTTTCTTTTTTGAAAAAAAAAAAAAAAAAAGAAGTGATATTATCGCTAAGATAACTAAAGATAAAACCCCAGGGGGGTTGGTGAGAGTGGTTTCAGGGAGTAGGTGGGACCGGGAAGACAACATCTGGCAAGGAAGGGGGAGACACTTTTTCAGAATAAAAATAATAATGCAAAAAAAGTATTATTATAATTTATAAATAAATAATAATAACAATATATGGGATTCACCTACCACAACGCACCGCGGGGGGACGACGAACACACACTCTTCTCGTTGGCTTTCCCACTTTACCTACTACGTTACATCGACCACTCACTCCTTTTGGCATCACGAATTATCATTACCTTCTTTATTTCTCTTTTTTTTTAAAAAAAAATATCAGTCAGTTTCCTCTTTCGGCCCAACCTTTTTTGGGCCCTTACTGGACTCCATCCTTTTTTTTTTTTGCTTATTTGGGTAAAAAAAAATTAACCACACTATTATTGTTAACCCACAGGTCCCTAATATCGTCTTAGTCGCGCCTTTCTCATGTTGAGACGAGTTAACCTACCCTAAAAGAATGTGCAACGAAACATAGTAAAATTGGAATAGATTTAGGTATGGAATGAGACATGAGATGATTAACGAGATATCCCGTTTATATATTTGTCTTTATATTTTTTTTTTACTCTTTTATTTTTTCATTTATAATTTTAGATATTAAGATTTAGATCTTTGTATTAAAAAAAAAATTAAAACAAAGTGTTAGTTCTATAGCAAGTGCATTTCAGCTTATAATTAAAGATACTTTTTTGATTCAGGTTTACAAGATCTAGTCATATTAATAACTTTTTAATATTTAATGATTGTATATATTAATAATTTAATAACATTTAAACCTATATATTAATAAATTTTAGAATAATTTAATGGTTGTATATATTAATCACTTTACATAAAATTGTAGAGTGTTAATTAGTATTTTCCAAAATAGCCCACATTTACAACTTTGCAAGATTTTTCTCCTTAAACTTTATGCTTATTTTAAAAAGGGGTGAGCTTGGAAACTCATTTTATTCTTTGACCATTTTAATGATTTAATTACCTCTCTCTTGGTTCATGTGAGAAACTAAGAAGTGTCCTATATTTAATATAGACAAAGTATAGTATTTTTTTTTTTTAGCTTTACAAGATTTCTCTTTTTTTTTTTTTTTATGTCTTGATTGTTGGAAAACGATACTTGAAGCAGATAGATTTTTCTTGCCCAAAAAATAGAAAAAATGATTGATCACCCTAAATTTATAAATGTGAGTATGCTCAAAAATGTTGGTTACTTATTTATTAATTTGTCATTTCTCTTTTATACTCTTTATTATTATTATTATTTACCAAAATTTCCCTGCCTCTTCCATTCTCATTCCCTTTTTGAAATGAGGCACAGAATATGGTATCCCATCTTGTCCCATCCCAGATATATAGTCATAATGTTAGGTTTACTTTCCTTGGATCCCAACCTCGTCTGTAAATGTTAACTATATATATTAAAGTCATTACTGGAATAAGGTCTAACTAGATTGGTGGACCTTCTCAACCATATGCATTTCAAAATAGGCCCTCAACCAACACTGCGTGTGAGCGCGAGCGTGAGGGCAATACAGTAGAGTCTAACATTAAAATTGTATTATATTACTATTTATTGAAGTACAATATTTTATATTTTGATTTGTTCAAATATTTTTCTGATTTTTAGGTGCTTGATGAGAGAACATAGTTGCGATGATCTTTTTAAAATATATATATATATATATAGTACACTACTACAAAAACAATATAAAATAGTTATTTTTGCTAATATTAAATGGTTACGAACTGTTAAATAATTAAGTATTGAATATTTTTGAAGTTTTTATTCAATGATTATTAACCGTTAAACATTTTAGATATATTAAACGTTTTTATGATAAAAACTGTTTAATAATGAGAATCAAAATATTAAGATCATAATGAGAATTATGAAAAACAAAATAATGAGGTTTTGAATAATGATAAAAACCGTTTAATAATGAGAATCAGAATATTAAGATGATAATGAGAATAATGATAAAAACTGTTTAATAATGTGAATCAAAATATTTGTTTGAGGTTTTGAAGGGTGTAAATGAGAATCAGAATATTAAATGGTTTTGATGCTAGAACCATTTAATATTCTTAAATATAAAATGGTTGTATCTTGACAACAGCTTATATTATTGCACTATTGTTTTAGTTATAATATTAAGCGGTTTTCTCTTATAAACATTTAATATTATGATCAAATTTTTTAAAACAAGGGCTGCATTTTAGCAACCCCTTGTAGTGTACATTACAAAATCAATAGCCAACACTCAAAAATAGAATTTTAGAAGCCAACAATAATCATATACATGAAATATACTTATCAATCCCTATACAAAAGCTATATATAACTTGAAGTTGCTTAAATTAAACCAATTAGTGGTAGAAATAAAACTCTAAATTTCAAAAATTGGCTAAGTATATCTATATATATCATCTATGTCAACTTTAAATATATACATATATCATCTATTTCTTCACTATTGCTATTATTGGTTGTTATAGATAAACCATGCTTTAAAAATACTATGTACTAACTTTTCTTTTCAAGGACTTCTTTCATGTGAGTCTCAACAAATATGTCACAATATACATTCTCATAGTATTGAATGCAAAAACAATGACAACAAAAAATTAAAGTTATATTAATTAATAAAAATAATATAGCTAACTTGAAAACTTGTTATTTTTTGATAACATTTTTCTAATTAGAGAAAGCAAGTTTGAAAAGCTCGTATCACTCCACCTGCTTGTAGCTTTTAAGCTGTATGATTCCAACACAGCGACCAATAAAGTGAAATCAATTCAACTCTCATACAAAGGTGTCTCTACATCAAATTTGAACCTTTCCAACTTCTCTAAAAAATTCTTAACTTCCCTTTCAATTGCATCGACCAATTCTTTGATAATGATGTTGATGAGTTCCACATTTTTTGCTTTATTAAACAGAAAGTTTGTCATATGATCTTTGATGGTTACAAAAGTCAAAATATTGCTAATACCCTGATGGTTGAGAAATTAAACTTGCCTCCCTTCGACCATCCCTGCCCTTATAAATTGTTAAGTGATGATGGTGGTGAGTTTACAGTGTCTAAACAAGTCCCAATTTTTCAGAAATAGGATATTTATGAAAATAAAATTCTATGTAATGTTGCTTTTATACAAGCCTTTCATATTTTATTAGGCTATTCATGGAAACATTCAACAAGAGTCAAGCATGATAGGCATAAGAATTATTATTATATTGCATTCAATTAGGAAACTAATGTATTTAAACTTCTTGAGTCTATGCAAGTTTATAAGGATTGTGTTAGAATTTTGGAAACATATAGAGTAAGAGAAAAAGATCAAGAAAAGAAAAGGATCTTGAGAGAGAGAGAGAGAGAAAATAATGAAAAAGAAGAATAAAATGAGATTGAAAATATTAAGAATAAAAATAAGAATGTTGAGTTGAGTGTACAAAAAGAAAAGAGAGAAAATAATGATAGAAAGAATTGTGAGAAAAGTGACATTAAGGGTGGTTGTAAAGATTTTTGTTTGATTATTAACCATCCTAATCATTCCTTACCTTGTGTTTCTAGTAAGTTGCAGGTTTCTTGAGAATTTTATCCTAAGGAGCCATCAATTGAATTCTTGTCCTCAAGAATCATCAGGCATTTTTCTTTTTCAAGTGGTGTTGAGAAATATTTTGATGGTACTCAAGGAATTAAAATTGTTATTTATATTTGGGTACATGTGAGAAAGAAAACATTTTTGATTGAAAGCACACTGAAAAATATTTCTAAAGTGGAGATTCAAGGACGAATTTTTTTAAAAAGGAAGGAAATGATAGAATACAAGTCACGCATGTCCAACAAGCCCAACAAGGCCAAGAGACCCACAACACAAAAGTGGTAAGACAAGGCCAAGAGACCAACAATCAACCAATGACCAAAAACATAAAAGGATCACATGGATGATTGCACAGAGGATGACATATCCCTTGATTGCTCCAAATTGATTAAGTTAATGATTTAGATATCAGTTTAGTATTTTATTTAAGTTTTGTTTTCTATTTCTAGATTAGGATTTTATATAATAATGTAATCATATAATTTTAGGAGATAAATCCCTAGATTATATGGCTAAATTTTATTATTTATTAATATTAATATTTTTATCCAAAATAGGGTTTTTAAGTCTTGAGTAACTCTATATATAAGCATACACTTCTTGATTGTATAGTAAGTTAAATTTGAATAATAAGATTATTCTTATTGTTAAAATTTATAACTCTTGTGAGCTTTAATGCTTATGATGGAATCCTTTGGTGAATGAGCTTGATCAACTCTTGTGATATTTTCAAAAGTTAAAATTATTAGAAGCAGGTGTTTTAAAGGATCCTTTCCTTAATCTCTATCTTTTTCCTTCTGTTATTTCATTTCCTTCTTCCACAACTCTTCTCCCATATTTTGATTTCTATCTTGTGTTTTCTTGTGTTTGTTTTATATTTTTTAGTTTGAAAGGATTATATTTTTAACTAGTACGATTTCACTTCTGCATCCCCTATCAAATGATATCAAGGACCTTACAATAAAGAATCAATAAATACTAACTTGAGGTCTAGATCTTGACATTTCTTTCTTAAGAATTTTTCATGAATATTCTCACATGATATATCTCTGAATTCAATTATGATACCAAGATCGTGAGTCATCATATGCTTTCATGATGACTTAATATCATGAGGCTACTAAGTTGTTAATCAGTAATTATTGATGAGATAATAATTAAATGCGTGTGAAAGAGAGTGAATAATTACCTCTAGTCATGGGATCACACACATGAAGACAAAGGAACTCAAAATAGTTGGTAGGGGTATTCAAAACTGGATCACATTTATGAAATGAATGCCTATTCTCATTGCGAATAGAACCACCATTTTCATGCAGTGACAAAAGGTCCAAAAGCTTTAACGCTTAAACTTTGAGACCCTCTTTTGTGATGATTTGTGAAACCTTCCTGCCATGCACAAGTATACCTAAAGCTTATATGGTGTTCACACATATTTAACAATCTCAAACGGAAAATTTCATACAATTCGAGGACATTCTATATATCAACAATTATATAAGGTCAAAACTGAACAAAATTTCCATTCAACAATTGAGCATTATGTTAGATATATCAAAAATTCAAGCATAGAGCATAAAGCGTTCAGCATTTCTATTCAACAATTATGTAAGGGCAAACCTAAAATTTGAAGGAAAAAAATTAGCAACATAACAACATAAAATTGAGCTTTAATTTCCTAAGCTTAATTCTCTCTTTTCACAAATTCAATAATAAGCTATCAACTATTTCATAACAAAATCACATACACTAATTCCATTCAATCAAAATTCATACATATTGAGCAATTTCATATCAGAAATTAAAAAAAAAAATAAATCTTCCACAACTATTCGATAAATAATCAACCAAACCCATTCAATCCAAATTCAAGAATAAAACCCACGCACAGACCAAAACCCATTCAATGACAATCTAGTTTGATGTATCTACAAGTAATTAAAAAAAAAAACAAACAAACTAGTTTGATGTTCGTTGAAGACAAGAGGAAGAAAACCCAACGCGGATGAGAAATGGAGGAGCAAAGCCACACACAGGTGAGCAACTCCAAGCAACCAAAAGAGGAATGGAGGAGGAAGAGGAAGAGACAATTGATGAGATAGCCAAAACCTATGTGAAGAAACACCTTGGTGGTGGGTATGAGGTCTGAAGCCAGAGAAAGTGAAGAAGACCACGAGCTAATAATGTCTTGAATGTAGATACTAGAGGGGCGTTTTAAAATTTTAAAAGAAACCATTCAATGGTTATTTATAATTAATTGTTGAGTTGTCTTTATTGAACAGTTGTCACTACCCAACCATTTAATAGTTTAGGAGACTATTAAACAGTTTTGTAGAGACAATCATTTAATAGTGTTCATGACTGAATAATAAATATCAGGCGTGCCAGAGATGCTGAGTCTTAATTGATAACAAAGGGTCTCGAGCTCCTTTACCACAATTTACTTAGATGTAAAAAGATACAAGGCTTTGGTAGAACAATTGTATGATTTTTTATTGAAATGTGAAAAGATTACAAACTGAAAATTGAAAACTAAAAGAGGGCTAATGAATGTAAAATTTGCGAGTCTTTGATGGAGCATTAACTAATTTCTTCTATATTTTCTTCCATTTATAATGTTAGAGTAGTGGTAGCTCTTTTTCTTAAAACCTAACATGTTTTGTCAAAAAATCAGAGATCTCATAAAACTCATGGTAAAGTTTTCATTCCATGCTCTCCATTTTGATAACCAATCTGTTTCATCAAAATGCTTGGACGTAGATTTCAGCATTATTTAAGATCATGACTTCATGCCAATAGTTTAATATTTACAGCTGACGAAATTTTGGCGTGTTTATTTATTGTGGCTTTTATTGAGCCTTGAGGCCGACCCCTTTCATTTATATTAAGCATGATACTTTAATTATTCAGCTCAATTAACTTTGTGACCTATTTAAGCAACGTTTCATATTTAGCCCAAACAAATAGTCTCTAAATTTTTTAAAATAAAAAATTTACAGCACTATTCAATGATTATTTCTAATACCCATTGAGTAATTGCTTCAATTATTAAATGGTTCTGGGCATAACCATTTATAATAATTTTATGAACTCCCACCTATATTTACATAAAAATTCTCCAAATAACCGTTTAACAAATGGCATTTTATATTCCCCCTTAGAATTCAAAGCCATGATGAGAGGGGACAATTAATACTCATGCATGTTTGAAAACTATCCCATAAGTGTGTGGGAGTTATACATGTATGGGTGCATGAAGCCGCTTAAAAGCTCTGCATTTTTCTCTCCCGGAACAGAAACTTCCTTCCCTTGCTTTCTCCTCAATGCATTTGTTGTGAACCTGAATTGAGTTCCTACGGTAATTCTGTTCCCGCATAAGATCCAACCGATGCAACTCATTAGGTATGTTTCCTCCTCCATATTCTTACAACATTATTAACGCCCTTCAAAAGGTTGCAGAACAATTTAGGTTACGTTACATGACATATGCATACTTCAAAACGTCAATTTCTAAACATACTTAAAAAAAAAAAAAAATTGGAAGTGGGAGGATGCAAGTATAACTACTCTCTCAAGAGGTCTAACCGAAGAACAACCTCAAATATATATATATATATATATATATATATCCAATAAAAAAGGTACGGAGAAGGTGAACAAAAAGTCAACATGATTCTCATCCAACATGTTTATCAGTGCACGCAAGTGGCCATATAAAAATGCACACAGCATACAGTGAATCCAAACCAGACTAAAAAGAGGTTAAAGGGAGCTAGCTAGGTGGTTCTTCCGTGGAGTCATCCATAATGACGAGTACTGTGTTAGTTCTCATCATCTTCCTCTCAACTTCTATATTGTCATCACTGTGTTCCCACGGCGACGAGGTGTCAGTGGTTATAGTGTCCAAGGACGGAGATGGAGATTATGGAAGTGTGAGTGAAGCCATAGCCAAAGCTCCAGAATTCAGTGAAACCCCCTACACCATCCAAGTCCGAAGCGGCACTTATAAGGAGTTCGTCGTGGTTCCGCGGGAGAAAACCAACATTAAGCTCGTCGGCGACGGCCCTAGTCAGACCAGAATAGTCGGCTCTCACCATGGCACCACACTAGGTATATATACATACATACATACATACATACATACAATTGTGTGTTGTCTCTTTTCTTATATATATATATGTATATATACACATACAATCATTTGTGTGTTGTATCTTTTCTTACTCAAAACCTAGTATATATACATATATATACATTACTTGTTGGATAAATTCATTAATCTCCATCATCCATTGAAGTAAGGATAGAGATAGGTGTACATTGATCCCATGGATACACCTCGTTGCGTCATTGTATTGCTCCGATGCAGAGAATCCAAGTGCATGTAATTAGTATATAAAAAAGCGTTTTCTTAGAAAAGAAATAATAAAGAATATATTTGGAAAGAAAATAGGAAGAGTATATTTACTATTTTATTTAAAAAAAAAGCACTTTTTAACCTATAACAAAAATTTCATTTTGGTTCATCATGGGCTTTATTTTGGACAAAAGAGACAATAGAATTTTCAACAAGGGTTGAAGAAATTCTTAAATTCTTTGTATTAAATATATTAAATTAAGGATAGTTTATTTCATTAAAATAACTTAGACTACTTAGTTAAACATATCTTGAGCTTTATACCTAATTTATTTTTTAATTTTTAAACGTGAGACTTCTTTAACTTTTATCTCTTATAGAAATCACCATACACTTACACACACACACGTGCCGGCTTTCCTTTTCTTTTCCTAACTTCATATATGATTAACTGACACCATATATCTTTTCTATTTAGTTTTGGCTTTTCCCTCGGTTTTGGATTATATATTCAGATTAAACTTTCATTGATGATATTTTTATCATGGCTATTAATTAATGACATTTTGGCTTGAAAAATATGGGTTAAATGCACATACGTACATATGAAACTCTTAAAGGATGGAGATTTTTCTTACTTTATATATATATATAGTCATCCTTTCTCGAATGATGAATGTTTGAACCAGTTTATATATATATATATATATATAAAAGGAAACCAAAGAATATAACCTTGATGTGTTAGGTGAATATGCAATTTGATCTTATCTTTTTTTGCCAACCAAAGTTGTCCAATTATAAAAAATTTGACCTATAATAACAAGGTCCTAAGCTCAAATTATATTGTTGATGATGTGAGGGTCTTATTGTTAAGTAGTCTAGAAGTACATTTATAAATACTTTTTAAATCCTCCCCATCTAACTCACTTAAACTTCTAATATTAATCAAATTAGTTAATCCTTTCCAAAATTTTTATATGTTCGTGCATAACATTGTTTCCCAATTTTTTTAAAGAAAATGAATTATTCCAAATATATGCGCCGTTATATAATTTAATGGCCAGTGATACAGTATATAACAGACTAAGTTAGGAGTGCAATTATTGGCCTACTATACATTTGCTGGTTTGTATCTCAACTGCTCTACTGCCAATAGACTGTCATATTTTCAAAGTTAGGGCGTTTCATAACAAATCAATTAGGATTCAACGTACGTGACAACTTTGTGTGTTCAAAATTAATTATGCAACAGTCTACATGCATGCTGACTTGGTTTAAATAATAGAAAAAATTACACATAAGTCCCTCACAATATTTAAATATTTGTCATTTTCATTTAACTTGCTAATTATTGTTGATGAATCTTATAATATTTAAATGTTTTGTGAGAATCTCAAAGTAGTTTTCTAAATAATAAGATGCATGTGTTTGGGCATAATAGCAACAATAATGACAGAAATAGTGGGGATTAGGAGAGTGGTCGTAGCTCTAGATTCTGATTATATATATATATATATATAATATTTTGAGCCCCTGTGCAAACTTTTATTATATATTATACTTTTCCTATCTATATAAGAATTGATAGTTCATTTTATAAGTCACACCTTATATAAAACGGTGGATCATTAATTAATTTTTTTTCTATTTTAATTACCCTTTCACAATTTTTCATGAGTAGAGTAAAATCATGCATGTGAGAAAGAAAATGTTTTTTAAAAATGATGCAGTGTAATAACAGTATATTATAAAATTTATTTCATTTTTTAACAAAGTCAAGAAGTGAGTTATATAAAGTTTGTATGTATTTTTCAATATCTCAACTCCTTATAATTAAATCTTGACTAATTAATTCTGCCCTGACTAGCAGCCAAACAATACAATGATTGATTTGATTTCAATGAGTATTGGATAATTTATAAAAAAAACATTGCTTTAAGTTTCTAATTTATTTTAGCATATAATAAAATGTTTGAATATATTTTTTTCAAAATTATGATTTTGGTCTTCAAAATTAATTAATATTTTTGCTATCAAAACATGCACTAATTATTGGATAGGTAAGTGGGTAGATTGGTGACTCAAAAAAGGTGTATAAAAAAGAAAGTGCCAAACACCCAACATCAACCCCCTTTGACATCGCAACCTAACATCTATATGTAGTAATAAATAATTTCTGATAATTTCGGGTCACCAGAACAAGACCTACTGTGTTTCACTTTTTTGGTAAACCTAATCCATTACATAATTGATCAAAGGTTCAACATTTTCTTTTACCAAAAAAAAAAAAAGGAAGTCAACATTTTTATCATAAGCCTACCTTTGCCTTAAAAAAAAAAAAAAAGTAAACCAGAGCCTACCTTTGTCATGTAGGTTCAAATCTTGAAAGACTAGAGACACATTCTCTCTCTCTAAATAATTTTGAGAGAAAGTAATTTAGTGCTACACACACACATAAGCATATATTTCCGGTACATAGATATAGTAATTAATCATCAAATTGATAATATATGTTTTTCACTATTCCATCGTATCTTTTATTTTCGTCTGTGATATAATGTCACAATTTTTTTTATCTCATGATTGAGTATTCATGGACACGAGTTTTACTTTCTAATGTAATTTATTTTAAATCAATTTTATTATTGAACCTTGTTTATGATTATCAATAAAAAAATTATTTCCCCATATTATAAATATATATAATCAAAATATTACGGTTGTCGTGTACACAAAATATTTAATTTTAAATTTAAACTATACTTCTAATAATTTTGTAAATTTATATTTAATAATATAATGACGCATGTTCTGGACATGACTATATCTTCCTCTAATCTTACCTTAAACATGAATTAATTATAAAAATCAATTTTTTTTTCAACTCACCGGACCAATTTTTCCCTGAATTCACCTAAAATTTTGCTGAGGATAGAATATCATTTGATAACCATATAATTTTTTCCCCCCTATTTGCACTATCATCATTAGAATTTTCTGAATTTTCTTTTTCCCTCCTGGGTTAAAAAGTCGTTTTCTCACACATAAACTACATCGCTCATGATTTATATAAATTATATGTGATCAGTTATTTTATAATTAATTAATAATTTGCAATTTGCAATTATGTAATTGACTTCGTAGATGTCTATGGAGAAGGGTTCGTCGCCGAGAACATAGGGCTGATGAACTCGGCCGGATTGAAAGCAAGCGCCGCTGTGGCGGTTCGCAACGAAGCCAACAACAGCATCTTCTTCCAATGCTCCATCGAAGGCTTCCAAGACACACTCTGGGCCGTCGCCGGCCGCCAGTTCTACAAGAACTGTGACATCTACGGCACCGTCGACTTCATCTACGGCGACGCCGCCGCCCTCTTCCAGGACTGCAACCTCTACGCTCGCTACCGCCCTTACGTCACCTTCACCGCCCAGTCCCGTCGCAGCCCCGACGACCACACTGCCTTCGCCTTCCAACACTGCCACTTCACGATGGCCCCCGAGGACGCCGCCATGAAGTCCAAGGTCCGAGCGACACTGGGGAGGCCATGGAGGCCGTATTCCACCGTCGCCGTCATTGACTCGTTCATTGACTCTATGGTGGACCCCACGGGTTGGGAAGAGATGCAAGGTCAGCCTACCGATAAGGTGACGTATGTGGAGTTTAACAATTATGGGCCTGGGTCCAACACATCTGGGAGAGTGAACTGGCCCGGTGTTAAAGTCCTTTCAGACCCAAATGAGGCCCAACAATTTACAGCTTCGGTTCTGTTAGATGCTGATTCTTGGATCCCACACAAGGGGGTTCCATATAATTGATGGAGATTCATTTAAGGGTATTCATTGGGCCAACCGCCCCAAAAATCCTGGTTGGGCCCAATTATGAAACACCCTATGATTAAATTTTAATTTTGCACCCTACACCTCAACTCTTTGAACTTAATTTACATTTTCAGCATAATTGTTGTTTGTTACGTTTATATTCTATCCAAGTGTCAAAAAAAATTACCATCAAGGAAATTCATTATATTGTGACCTTGCCTAAAAATTTAGCAGCATGGAGAACAACTTCGGTTCATTTTCTGCTCTCTTCTTTTTTTCCTGCTTTACACATCTAAGAGAGAATGAAGAAATTATAAGTCATTGAAAAATCCTATCATCCTCTGTCTATCTGTCACAAATTTTGAAAAAAAGAAAAGAAAAGAAAAAATATTTCAGTGCTTAGCAATGAACAATATTAGTATGAGAAAAATCAACACAAATAGAAAAGTAGAAAGTGGTAGTATATTCTCCTTCCAATTTTATTTATAAAATAAAGAGAGAATGATTGTTTTTTACCTTGTAAGTTATGTCATTAAATATTTTTACAGATTTCTCCTTTTACCTCCAATTATATGTTGATGAGAGGAAGTACACTATTAAATTTTATATATATATATATATATATATTATGTTTCGGTTCTTGTGTATAATTTTTGGATCTTTTACTTTAATTTTTTTTATCATTTTATATAACTTTTAAGATCCTTCTATGTCATTTTTTAGATCAATTAACGATCAAAGTTAATTTTTGTTAATTATAAGAGCCACATTGCATCATTTTCAAAAGTTGAAGGAGAACAATATACCAAAAATAAATTTAGGATCCCAAATACTACTAAACGTATAGTTTAAGGACTAATTTACCATTTAACCTATAATATATGTGTGTTATATTTTTGAGCCTTTATACAAACTTTTTATTATATTATTTTTGGCTGTATGCATATATTAATTACCTTCTAAAAAAATGATAGTTCTTTTTATAAGTGTTTGGGCCTAAAATGAAGCTTCAAACCCAATATCAGATAAAAGTAAGGCTCAATTTGCTTTTAAAATAAGTCGTGCCATGCACATACTCAATGTGACCCTTAAAACTCAAAACGACTAGATATTAAAGGTTGTTAAATAGACATAAGATCATTATCTACATGCCATGAGTATCACGGGGCCATACTAAGTGATCACGAATATTTTGCATATAGGCTCCAGATTTTTCAAGCACAATAATTTCAAGCATACAATTGTAAAAAGTTCTCAAGTAACAACAAACCGGACACACAACCTATATTAGAAACAATCTTAGATTTACTTTTTCAATTCATTTACCCTATATTTCATAATTTGACTTAGGTTTTATTTTCAATTTATAAGTTATAATCACTGCAACTTTGTACTTTATTTTTTATTAATCAAAACACCCTTTATATTGATTTATTTGCATCTTCACATTTAGGTAAATTGAGAAAAAGAAGGCCGAGGACCATGTATTTGTTTATGAGACTCCGCATCTCCGGCACGTCTAGTTTTTGTTGCTAAAACACAACATTCAACTTGTGAAGAACAATGAGTCACTTTATATAAGAAGGCATATCATTAATTATTTTTTAATTTTACTCTTTTACAATTTTTTATGAGTAAGGTGAAATTTTACTTATGAAGAAGAAAATATTTTTAGAGATGACATATTTAATAAAAATAAATTAGAAAATTTCTTTCTTTTTTTCTAACAACATCAATAATTTAACTATTTCTCTTTATTCTAGTAAGGTAAATAGAAATGATTTATATATAGAATTGTATATGTTTTTCAATCTCAACTTCTTATAATTAAATTCTCGTTATACTTAATTTTGACATATATCATAGATGTTTGAATCTTTTTGAGAAAATTATAGTTTTTAATTTATAATTAATTTTGATACATAATAGAGACGTTTGGATATATTTGCACGAAATGATAATTTTAGCCTTTAAAATTCATCAATTTGATATTGGATGGTAAGTAGGTGTGGATTGGTGACACAAAAAGAGCTATAAAAAAAGAAAGTGTCAATAAACACCCAACATCAACCACCCTTGATATCGAAACCTAACAATGTATGTATAGTAATAGTAATTTTCTGATAATTTCAAAGTAAGACCTACGACAGGTACTATAACTTTGTTGGTAAACCTAATCCATTATATTACATCAATTCCAAGCACCTTGTGCGTAATAATTGATTTGACTAGTGGGTCAACATCTTGATCATATGCCTGGCTTAGCTAATTGCTTCGTCATCATGTCCAAATCTTGAAACACCAATTAAGAATATATATATATATATATATATCAATTCATTGCTGTTTAATAATTTTCTCTAGTTAGTGCCCACAGCAAAAAAAAAAATACTCTCATCATTAAAAAATATAAAACATTTTTTTAAAAATTGAATGTTAAAAAATATAAAGTATTTTTAGTTTTTTGAGGTGTAATCATTACTTTTTTTTAAAAAAAATATCTATATTGATAATGATTTTATATTTATTGTAGAGTATTTAATAGTGATGAATATAGAAAGATAGGGTTAGTTGAAAAGTAAATAACTACTTTATTGAGGGTAAGATTCGATTGAAAATACTTTACATTTTTTAATAGAAGGAGTATATAATATTATAATTTATAATGTAATATATATATATATATATATATATGTTTTGATGTGCATTAATCGTCATTCGTAGTTACTTGGAGATGGATAATATCAACTTTGTTTTTATTTGTGGTATGAGGCCACTGCTTGAAAACCTTTATATATATATATATATAGGAAAATGAAAATTAGAGATTGTACAAGAACATTTATATTTAATTAATAATTTTAGTATTGGAATATGGGAAAAAATTATTAAATTTAAAAATGTTAGTGTTAGAAGGAAAAAAAATACTAATTTGACATTAATATTTTTATAGGGTCCTCACTTGTCATTGTCCCTATATATGCTTCAACTTTGCAACGCCACACGCGCGCGCAAACACACTGATTGATGGAGATTCATTTAGGGGGTGTTCATTGGGCCAACCGGCCCAAAAAAATGCATGTGGGCCCAATTATGAAGCACTCTGATTAAATTTTAATTTTGCACCCCGTATCCCTCAACTCTTTGAACTTAATTTACATTTTAAGCGCAATTGTTATTGGGTTACGTTTCAATTCTATATAAGCGTACAAGAAAAAATTTATCATCAAGGAAATTTTTTTGGCCACATCGTCAGGGAAATTTATTATATTGTGACCTTGCCAAAAAATTCAGCAGCTTAGAGAACAAAATAAAAAATAAAAAGGAAAAATTAGTAGAAAAGACCTAGTAGAAACCAAAATTGTGCTCAGGGACCAAAGTAGATTGAAAGACCAAGCCTATTGTTTTATTCATAAAACAATTTGATCAAATGATCAAAACACTCCTCTATGTCAACTAAAAAAATTAAGGAAAGGGTACAAAATTAGCTCCGACGACCTCCTACTAAAGCTCTAGCTACTCCTCTGATAGTTGACAATATGCTTACCGAGGCTCTGATCGAAAAGTAAAGGGTTGCTGGAAAATGTCATCAGAAAAACTCAACACCACTTTATTACATGTAATCCTTAATGATTACATGTAAAGTCAACAATCAAAAGGTACAAGAACTTTGGCTTAAGATGTAAGACTTTTGGCTTGGATGTAAGGAATCTAACCTATGTAAAGCTTAAGCTCAGAGTGCAAGGCTTCTGCCTTGAGTGTAAGAAATTTGGCTTATGGTATAAGGGCTTCTGACTTATGATCCAAGGCTTCTAGCTTGAACAATTACATGTAAATCAAATACACAGAGAGTGCCCATTGGGCCATTGTCAATGCCCTATAATTACATGAAAATGACAACTAAAAACATGTAAATCAATATGAGAAAAAATTTACAAGCATACATGAGGAATAATTTTCATGTAATTTTTAGCAGATTACATGTAAATCAAATGCACAAGAGCACGATCCTGTCAATCCCCTATATGAAAATAACTATGGGTTACATGTAAATCAATATAAAAAAATTGGTAAGTATGCCTTAGGAATAATTTACATGTAATCTTTAGCGATTACATGAAAATCAAGCACATAGAAAGCACACTTCTATCAATCCCCTAGAATTACATGAAAACGATTATGGATTATATGTAAATCAATATGTGAAGAAACTCACGAGTATGACTAAGGAATGATTTACATATAATATGTATGTAATCTCTAATAGATTATATGTAAATCAAACACATAGGAAACATGTCCCTACCAGTACCCTTAAATTATACAAGAATGACTACAAATTACATGTAAATCAATATATGAAAAAATTCATGAGCATGCTTGACAAATAATTTATATGTAATATCTAGCATATTACATATAAATCAAACGTATAGAAAGTGCACCATTGTCAATGCCGTTGAATTACATGAAAATAGCTATAAATTACATGAAAATGTCTAAGTCAAAGCTTTACATTATAAAACTAGATCCCTTTCGCTTAAGTTAGAAGCTTTGCACTTGAGCCATACCTCTTGTGCCCGAGCCATACCTCTTGCGCTTAAGCCACAACACATGTACCTTAAGTCAGAAGTATTGCACCATAAGCCAAAACCCTTGTACCTAAATCAGAACCTTTGCACCCTTTAATTCTAACACCCTAAATCAAAAAATATATCATGAGGAATAAGAACAGCATCATGCTCATGATAAAGTACATCCTACTCTATATAAAAAACAAATAAAGTAACACTCACAATAAGTTCTTCTTTTGTTTAAATATTATGCATTGTATAGCAAGTTATATTAACCTATAAACAAATTCAACAATGTAACATGAAGGACAACTAAATTGTTCTTAAAAAACAAGTAAATGTAAAGAGAAAGAATGAACGACAAAAATTTTAATGAAAGAACAATAATTCCATTAGGTTTATTCTATCTTTTGTCAAATACAATCAAAATGATAAATAAAGATCATAGGGTACCTTATATCAAAAAATATATCACGAGGTAAAAGAATAACATCAAGCCCATGTTAAAATACATCCTACCCTATACAAAAAAGCAAATAAGGAAGATAGTCATAAGTACAATTCAAAATACAGTCATATTTTCATTCAATCTTTTAAGGAAATTCATTGATCAATATTTTCTTATAGCTCACTTAAATTATCATATGCGTGT